AAGACGAGCCAGGTCGCCTACAGAGCAGTGCTAGTAGCCTGGTAATGAAGCAATGTTTATTTTTTTTAAATTTGAGGGTCCCGTTTTGTAGGGGAAGATTTCAACCACTACCCCTTGTAACTCAGTCCCAAGGGGTTAGCGTGACACTTGAAAATAAGGGATAGGGGTAAAAAGAAGAAATGGGATTGGGCCTTAGTCTTAGTAATGGTGTGGATCCATACAAACTCTCAAAGAGTGGAGTAATGATCTGGGTATTGTTGTTGTCCAAATGCATCTCCAAAATAGTAACTTTTCAGGTGAAGGCAAGAATGTTCTTCACTTTTAATGTGTTATAAAGAGGTTTTATTCCAAGAGATTTAAATATTCACACAAAATGGAGATGTACAACATATTCAGTTACTGGATTTCAATCCGCTATTAGCATATTTAACTGTAGGTAGCTGCTTGCCTTGAACTCAAAATAAAATATGGGTTAGATGTACATGTTTAAAATTTACTTCACCATTATCATTTTTTATATTTGTACAGTTCCAGTTTGTCTTTCCATTGTTTGACTGTTCATTTTTCCTCTACGCCAGGATAAAAATAGTGTTGACGTCACGACAGTTTGTGCTAATTTGAAAAGAAAGTAGTAAACAGTAAAGAAAGTGGTTCTATATAGAACCATGATCACTCAAAGAACCTTTTGCATGCTTAAAGGGTTGTTTGTGTGGTGAAATGGTTCTTCAGAATGTGTTGTATATGGTTCTATACAGAAATCTTTTTAAATATGGTTCTATATAACACCAAAAAGCACCATAAAGGATTCTGCTATTGTTACAAGCTCATATTGTAACAACAGCAGAACCCTTTATGACACTTTATAGAACCTTTTTCGAAAAGGTTTAATCATGCTAAAGGTTTAATCATGCTAAGGGTTCTTTAAGTGTTCATGGTTCTACATAGAACCACTTTCTTTACTAAAGGTCCCTTGAAGAACCATCTTTTTAAGTGTATATATGATTCTTTATAGAGCCTTTCTGAATATGGTTCTATATAGCACCAAACAGCACCATAAAGGGTTCTGCTATTGTTACAAGCCTGTATTGTCACAATAGCAGAACCCTTTATGGTGCTTTATAGAACCCTTTTCAAAAAGGTTTTGTATAGAACCTTGTACAGTATGTTCTCCACCAATCTGAAGAACCATTTCACAATGCAAAGAACCCTTTAATCATGCAAATCATTTTTTGAGTGTTTATGGTTCTATGTAGAACCACTTTCTTTACCAAAGAAGACTTTTTTAAGTGTATATATGATTCTATGTAGAACCTTTTTGAATATAGTTCTATATAGCACCGAAAAGTGTTCTGCTATTTTTACAAAGTGAAGCTTGTAACAATATCCGAACCCTTAATGGTGTTTTATAGAACCCTTTTCAAAAAGGTTCTATATAGAATTATATACAATATATTATCCACCAATCTGAAGAACGCTTTCATGATGCAAAGAACCCTTTAATCATGCAAAGGGTTTTTGAGTGTTCATGGTTCTATATAGAACCATTTTCTTTACTAAAGAAAGAAGAACCATTTTTTTTAAGTGTACATGATTCTATATAGTACCAAAAAGTGTTCTTCTATAGTTACGACACATGCTTGTAACAATATCAGAACCCTTTATGGTGTTTATAGAACCCTCTTCAAAAAGGTTCTGTACAGAACCATCTACAGTACATTCTCCACCAATCTGAAGAACCATTTCACCATGCAAACAACCCTTTAATCATGCAAAGGGTTCTTTGAGTGTTCATGGTTCTACATAGAACCACTTTCTTGACTAAAGATCCTAAAGTGTATATATGATTCTATATAGAACCTTTCTGAACATGGTTCTATATAGCACCAAACAGCACCATAAAGGGTTCTGCTATTGTTACAAGCCTGTATTACATAGAACCACTTTCTTTACTAAAGAACCCTTGGGAAATGTGTGTATATGATTCTATATGAAACCTTTTTAAATATGGGTCTATATAGCACCAAATAGAGTTCTGCTACTGTTATGACAAAAGCTTATAACAAGCTCTTCATGGTGCTATATAGAACCTTTTTCAAAAACGTTCTATACAGAACCATCCACAGTACAATCCCTACAAATCTGAAGATCAGTTCCATTATGCAAGGTACCCTTTAATTATACAAAGGGTTCTTAGAGTGTTCATGGTTCTATATAGAACCACTTTCCTTACTAAAGAACACTTTTTTAAGTGTATATATATGATTCTGTATAGAACCTTTTTGAATGTGGTTCTATATAGCACCAAAAAGGGTTCTGCCATTGTTACAATGTCAAGCTTGTAACAATAGCAGAACCCTTTTTGGTGTTATATAGAACCATATACCACACTTTTTCCATCAATCTGAAGAATCATTTCACCATACAAAGAACCATTTAAGCATGAAATGGTTCTATATTGAACTCATGGATCTATATAGAACAATTCCCTTTACTAAACAACCCTTGAGGAACCATCTTTTTGAAGACCACAGCAAAGTTTTCTACAAATATTAATTTCAACATAGAATTAAGTAATAACTGCAGTTTGGGGTGCCTGAAACCCCTCCTCCTTCCAGTGTAATCCCTAAAAATTCAAATCCGTACCTTCCGTTTCCTGATAACACCACCCGTCTCCTCCCTGTTCCTCAGTCCTCTGTCAGTCCTATCACAGTTACAAGGGGGGTCTGGCCTTCTAGCTACAACCAGAAGCCGCCCAGAGCTCCAGCCCAAGTTCTCAGAGTTCTCTCCCCTCCCTCAGTCAGTGTTCCCCCATACTACCACCATGTGTTGAAGGCATGGTCCAAACTGGTAGTCACTCTTTATTTGCTTGCAAACATCCCCCACACACTAGATTTACATATGAAACTACACTTCAACCCCCAGTTTACTTTTCTGAAGAACCGGGTCAGCCCCAACTTCCCAGCCTGCATCAGCTTCCAGCCTGTTTCCCCCCAGCTGTCAGTCCATCACACATCACGGCCAGTTCACTACGATACATGACTGCAGTGAAAGCACAACACAAAAGGTTTGGACATTAAGGGAGGGTCGGAATATGAAAACTCATGAGAATGTATCCAGAATGAGCTCATTACTGTGTGGTAAGGGTAAGTCAAGGTGCTTTGATCTTGAAGATGGTCTCACTTATTTGAAGGGGCTTCTTCAGTGATAGTAATTTGAAGTCTCCATCCACCACCCCACATACCTCCCCCTCTCTCTCCATCCATCACACACAACAATTAGCTTTTCTTATAAGATCACCACCCGTAACTCTCCACTTTAGGCCGCTACTGCGTTTCTCAGCCTCCTTAAGGAAAACCGAACAGAATTCCTGGAGTTGGCCTTTTAACCACATGCCCAGTCCCAAGCCCAGTGTCCCAATAAAATAATCCCCCCAACAGGGTGTGACCACCCCATCCGTCCCATGTTCGACTACCACATTCAATTTAGTCCTTAACTGAATCTGCTACTAACTGCTACTAAGCAAAAGCATCTTAGCACAAAGATCACTGTTAAATGGTAGAACAAGCATCACATTCAACTCTCTCTCTCCCAGTTAAGATGATCTTCAGTGGGAATTCCATTCCACCGATTTCTCAAAATCTCTGCATAATTCAGTGGTTGAGATAAAAACAGTTAGTGGTTTGATGTGAAATGGCTCCTTGTAGGGAAACTTACAGACTCAACTTACAGATTTCATCAAGCATCAAGACTTTTCTCTGTCCTGGCACCCAGGCGGTGGAACGAACTCCCACCGGCTGTCCGAACAGCAGGGTCTCTCGCGGTCTTCAAACGCAGACTGAAGACCATCTCTGTATACAGCACTTAAGTGAGCACTGAGTTAAGTAATTCATTGTAATGTATTATACTGCACTTATTGAAATGTACTGTATTGCACTGCGCTGCGTTTAACTATATTTCTTTTCTCTCTAGGTATCAACATGGGCTCTTGTTTCTAGCAGTATCCGAGCTCAGGACTGGCTTTCTCTCTAACCTATTGGTAACCAGCAAAGATACTTTCTCTAGGTAGACAAAGCACTTCTTGTAAGTCGCTCTGGATAAGAACGTCTGCTAAATGCTGTAAATGTAAATTTAATCAGTAATTCGATCAATCACTTGAGTAATCAGATAATGGGGAAACTCCGGGTCTACATGAGTCAGACAGTAATCCGATTTCTACTTTGCAACCAGCCAATAAACTCACAGAAGAAGACGTGACGTAAACATAACGTTAAACAAACGTCATGAGCGGCTTTTTCTTAAAACATTGATCACTTTACCTGAAAATATGAACATACTTCATCTAGAAGATGAAGAACATTTAGATCCTTCATCTCGTCAAGGATGTCGTTGGTTTCAGCTCCAAAAGCGTTTTGCTGCCATCTCGTGATGCAACGCTGCTTATTTCCAGTACCGCCGTCTGTTTTCGCACATGCGAAGACTGAGAAATCCAAAAGAAATCACAGTAAGAGTTCACAAGCACTGAGAAATCTGATTACTGAGCTAAAATCCAGCTTCTTTATCAGATTTCATAATCAGATTTTTAGACCATGCTCCAATCTAAGAAATCAGAGTGTGCTGTTCACACGACCATTTGAATAATCAGATAACTGCAGAAATACGATTATGATCGGACTAGTAAGTGCATATTCGCATTGTCTCAGGCATCAGGCCGCAATTTCATGTGATAACGTTCTGCGAGGGAGCTTTTAGAGGTGGATGTAGATTCCCTGGAACTCTGAATGACTTTATTCACATCTTTAATTATGCAGAAATTTAGAAAAATCAGTGGAGTTCCCCTTCAACACTGAGGGATAGGAGCAGATCTCAGAGTTAGTATGAGTCTTGTTCACTACATACTGAGGTTGGGCTCGATTTAAGATGCAGCCAGGATCTCCATGGTTACCCTCTAAACTGAACACCTCTCTTCCCTTAGCAACCGCTGACGTGTGAGGGTACCGGTATCGCGGTGCTTCATGGTGAGGGTCGCCAGTTCGCCAGGATACATCAGGGTGGGCTTATTACTGTGAGATAATGATAAATTGAAGACGGACTCACTTATTCGAGGGACTTCATCAGTGATAGTGAGATGAAGCCCCCCCTCTACCACCACCACCACCACACATACCGCCCCCCCGCCCTCCTCTCTCTCTCACACACACACACACACCGGTCCCACCCTTAAGCCCCCCCGCCCCCCTCAGTCTCTCTGTCTCTCTCACACACTCACACTAACGCTCACACTCCCCTCTGCAGCAGCCGCGCTCCTCTCCTCCTCCTCCGGTCATGGCCGCTCCGGACGCCCCCGGCGAGCCCCTGGTGATCCGCCTGGGCCTCATCAACGCCGAGAACAAGTACCTGACCGCCGAGACGTTCGGCTTCAGCATCAACGCGTCCGCCGCCTCCATGAAGAAGAAGCAGGTGTGGACGCTGGAGCACGCGGGCGACGCGGACTGCAGCTGCGTGCTGCTGCGCAGCCACCTGGGCCGCTACCTGGCGTGCGACGCGGACGGCGTGGTGACCGCGGAGCGCGAGCGGCCCGAGGCGGACTGCCGCTTCGCGGTGCTCGCGCACGACGACGGCCGCTGGTCGCTGCGCTCCGAGGCCCACGCGCGCTTCTACCTGGGCGGCGCCGAGGACCGCGTGGCGGGCGTGGCGGACCCCGCGGCCAAGTGGAGCGTGCACCTGGCCGTGCACCCGCAGGTCAGCGTGTACAGCGCGGCGCGGAAGCGCTACGCGGGCGTGCGCGCGGGCCAGCTGGCAGCGGACCGCGATGCGCCGTGGGGCGTGGACGCGCTGCTCACGCTCGTCTACGCCGAGCGCCGCTACCACCTGCAGACGCACGACGGCCGCTTCCTGAGCGCGAGCGGGAAGCTGCTGGACGGACCGCCCGCCGCCGCCAGCACCGGGCTCACGCTCGAGTTCCGCGCGGGCGCCGTGGCCTTTAGAGACGCCGCCGGGGTGTACCTCGCGCCGTCCGGGCCCGCGGGAGCGCTCAAGGCGGGCAAGAGCGCGCGCGCCGGCAAGGACGAGCTGTTCGTGATGGAGCGGAGCCGCGCGCAGGTCGCGCTCACCGCCAGCAACGGCAGGAACGTGTCCACGCGCCAAGGTAGCGAGACAGTCCACTCATGCACCTGACAAAAACTCGGTGTATTCATTATAAACACACGAAAACGTTATGAACATATAAAAACAAAACATACTCATCATACTCGGTATATACATCATACTTCATATACGCACTGCTCCATATAGTTATTATACTCCATTTACTCATCATACTCAGTATATACATTATAAACCATATACTCACTACTCCATATAGTTATTATTCTCCATATAGTCATCATACCTGGTATACTCATCATACTCAGTATATACATTATAATCCATATACTCACTAATCCATATAGTTATTATACTCCATATACTCATCATACTCAGTATATACATTATAATCCATATACTCACTGCTCCATATAGTTATTATACTCCATATAGTCATCATACCCAGTATACTCATCATATTCGGTATATACATTATAATCCATATACTCATTAATCCATATAGTTATTATACTCCGTATACTCATCATATTTAGTATATACTCCGTTATACTCCATATATACACTCATTATACTCCATATATTCATCATACTCAGTGTATCCATTATACTTCATGTACTCATTACTCCTCCATATAGTTATTATACGCCATATAGTCTTCATACTTGGTATATACATTATACTCCATATAGTCATTATACTCAGTATATACTTTATAACCCATGTAGTCATTATACTCCTGTCTATGCATTATGATCTACATAGTTATTATACTTCATATACTCATCATACTCAGTATATATACTATACCCTGTATACTATTCACAGTATACTCTTTATAATCCATATAGTTATTATACTCCACATAATAATCAACGGAATATTCTCATTATACTAAAAATGCTCAATATACTCATCATATTCCGTATATACATTTCAGTCCATAAATTTATCATAATATACTCATCATACTCAGTATACACATTATACTTAATATGTTCAATATACTGATTATGTATATATTTATTTATATATATATTTATATATTTATAGTATATATATATTTATTACATTCAGTATGATCAATATTCATACTTGGTCCTCTCAATATACACTTTTTACTTATCATGTTTTATATGCCTAATATACTCATAGTATACTCATTATATTCAATAAACTCAGTCAGTATACTCAATATACTCATTATATTCAATAAACTCAGTCAGTATACTCAATATACTCATTATATTCAATAAACTCAGTCAGTGTACTCAATATACCCATTATACTATATAATATGCCTAATATACTCATAGTATGCTCAGTATACTCATAGTCAGTGTACTCATAGTTGGTATACTCAAAATTCCCATTACAATCATGGTCAATAAACTGATTACACTCAAAATAGTTAGTCAGTATACTTATTATATTCAATATACTCAATAAACTCATTATACTCAATAAACTCAGTCAGTATACTCAATATACTCATTATACTCAATAAACTCAGTCAGTATACTCAATATACTCATTATACTCAATAAACTCAGTCAGTGTACTTAATATACTCAATACTTAATATACCCATTATTCTCAATAAACTGAGTCAGTATACTCAACATACTCAATATGCTGAACATACTCATTATATTCAGTATACTAACTCTGTTTAATACACTCATTGTACACACAGTAGAGAGTGGAGAGTGGGTGTCTGTGTCTGTCCGTGGCGGTTTATGTGTGTTAGCCAGTCGCGAGTGTGTATGTGTATGTGTGCATGTGCTGCAGGAGAATTTTATCCTCCATGTGGGACTGATCTGAAACGCCCTTCTTTTGTCTCTGTCTGTCTCCCTTTCTCTCTCCCTGCGTCTCTCTGCTGCTCTCTCTCTCTCTCTGCCCCTCTCTGTTTCTCTGTCTTTCTCTTTCCATATGCTTTTCATTCATTTCATCTCCACATCCTTTCTCCCCAGCACGTACACACAGACGCATGCTTCATGTATGTGAACGTTCTGCAAAAGAAAGCGTGTGCCGTCTGACTTGGCTCAGACCCTCCCGTCTGATTGGCCTGTGCTGTTTCAGGGGTGGATCTGTCAGCCAATCAGGACGAAGAGTCGGATCAGGAGGTGTTCCAGATGGAGATGGAGCGGGAGACAAAGCGCTGTGCGTTTAGGTGCTACAGCGGCAAGTACTGGAGCCTTGCTCCCAGCGGAGCCATCCAGTGCACTGCATCTGCCAAGTAAGACTAAAGATAAGCAGATGTATGAAACTGCAGTCTGAAAGCGATGATTTGGCTGAAATTCCTTTACCCCAAACGCAGTTGATCAGCCAACAAGGCTAACGTAGAAGCTTATAGCACCTCTGTGTGATTTACAGTAGTATGTTAACACTTAAAATTTGTAGTGGCTCTTAATTAAACACAGACTTTGATGCTTGTAACAGAAACTAACAGACACCGATCAGGCATAACATTATGACCACCTCCTTGTTTCTACGCTCATTGTCCATTTTATCAGCTCCACTTACTATATAGGTGCACTTTGTAGTTCTACAGTTACAGACTGTAGTCCATCTGTTTCTCTGCATACTTTGTTCGCCCCCTTTCACCCTGTTCTATAATGGTCAGGACCCCCACACAACCACCACAGAGCAGGATTTATTTGGGTGGTGGATCATTCTCAGCACTGCCGTAACACTGACATGCTGGTGGTGTGTTAGTGTGTGTTGTGCTGGTACGAGTGGATCAGACACAGCAGTGCTAGAGTTTTTAAACACTGTGTCCACTCACTGTCCACTCTATTAGACACTCCTACCTCGTCAGTCCACCTTGTAGATGTAAAGTCAGAGACGATAGCTCATCTGCTGCTGCACAGTTTGTGTTAGTCATCCTCTAGTCCTTCATCAGTGGTCACAGGACGCTGCCCACAGGACGCTGTTGGCTGGATGTTTTTGGTTGGTGGACTATTCTCAGTCCAGCAGTGACACTGAGGTGTTTAAAAACTCCAGCAGCACTGCTGTGTCTGATCCACTCAGACCAGCACAACACACACTAACACACCACCATCACGTCAGTGTTACTGCAGTGCTGAGAATGACCCACCACCCAAACAGTACCTGCTCTGTGAGGGTCCATGGGGGTCCTGACCACTGAAGAACAGGGTAAAAGGGGGCTAACAAAGTATGCAGAGAAACAGATGGACTACAGTCTGTAACCGTAGAACTACAAAGTGCACCTATATAGTAAGTGGAGCTGATTAAATAGACGATAAGCGTAGAAACAAGGAGGTGGTGTATATTTTATTGTGATGTAGCACTACCAAAGCTATTTTCCAACTGGCTGAAACCTGGTTAGATGGCTCGTATTCACAGTTAGTGATGTATCTAGAACTTCCAGAAGGCCTAGAGTGACACTTCTTCTCATGAAATTGGTCCCACCCATCGTAAATCAAGACCCGGCTGATTCCACTTTCAGTATCTGATTATACTGGTAATTAATCCAACATGTAAGGCCTGAAAGTCCCGGACTGGGTTGCACCATTTTTGCATAAGTTTATATTTAAGTTTGGGTGTAAAGTCTTTACTGAGTCCTTAGTTACGCTACTTTTAAACTATTTTTTTACTGAATTTTTACACCACAAATTATCTACAATTATTTATGTTTATTTTGTAATGTTTTCCTGAGGCAACCAAATATGCAGCTTTTTAAATGCCGTTTCTGACTAACAGACGCAACAGTAGCCTCAGTTTAGCCATTAAAAAACCCGGGTGATGATTAGATGGTTAGGCCTGATGGTTCCCCACTGGTACAATATCAGAAACCGCATAAGCGAGTCCGTTTGAGTCTGTTGCTTAGAAGCTTGTATGTGTGATGATTAATGCATGCAGTGCCTTGCTGCTGGTGAGCTTCCATTACTTGTTAGCTACTTTAGCCTTGCAGCCCCAACACTAAACCCCAAAACTGGTCGCCCAATTAACCACATCTGGGGTAAAAGGAAAATACTCCAGTGATTTTGGCCAAATCGTTGCTTTCAGTGTGACGTGAGTCAAATGAACACAATGAAACAGAACAAATGGTGCCTTGTTCGGTGGATGGTGGTAACCATGGACGACGTTACTAACACATCACATTTGTGAAAAAGTCAGAAGGTGTTTTGGTTGCTATCTGCAGATCAGCCAGCTGCTTCTTTGACCTGGAGTGGAAAGACTCAAAGGTCAGTCTCAAGGCCAGTAACGGCAAATACCTGACAGCCAAGAAGAACGGTCAGCTGACAGCATCGGTGGACTCTGCAGGTGTGTGTGTGTGAACCAGCCTAGCTTGCAGTGGACGAATTCATTCCATTTAGTAGCACGGCCGTATCCGCAACACCAAGAGTTTGTAATAAATAGAGAAAATCAGCACATATACAGTACTGTGCAAAGGTCAGCGGCCATCCATTAGACCACAATTGGCTTGGAATTTATGCAGAAGAAGGCAGTCGGTCATTTAGATAGACAGATGCTAAAGGTACCTCAGCTAACTTTGTTAGCCTAGCCGTTTTCAGCTCAAAAAAAGCCAGTCTGTGGAAAGGTAGCAAACAGATACCAAGCGTGATAAATGATGCTGAACACTTATTTCATTCAAATTATATCTGTAGAGTGTGAAAATGAACTTAAACCTGGCGTTTTTGGGCTCTGCCTGCCCGCATTCCATAGCAGCGCTCTGCTACGTGACGCTCTGACTTGACGCGTTGCGTCAGGTGTGCGACGGCCTTCACACTTTCGGTTTTTCAGAGAAATCTACAGGGATATAGATATTTTTCCACACCTCCAAAGTTCAGTCTTAGAAGCTGGTTGCATTTTCTGATTCTCATGATCCAAGTAATCAAACACATTCAGTGATGTTGAGGTCTCGACTAAGATGGCCAGTCTTCTGTGTTTGAATAGCACATTTTTGGGCTATTTCCTTTTCTCAGCAAAAGCTTCTTGGCAGCTATACATCCTTTCAGACCCATAGCGCTGAGTCATCTTGTCACAGTGTAAGGATGGACAGAAACACCTGCCGATGTTTTCAGAACTGTAGCAAAAGTGCAGCTTTAAGTGCTGTTTATGTGATGGGGGGCAGTTTTGGTGTCTGCCAGGTCCTGCGCAGTTTTAAAGAGTCTTTTAATGATTTTTCAAATGCTTGAATCGCTTGGTGGCCGTTTTGTCTCTCTGGCTTTTGCACAGTATTGTATGCTAAGAAGCCAGATGTTCTGCCCAATCAAAGGTGCTACCATGAAGCCAAGGGTGTAATTCTAAACTATGATGGTTACTATATGCATGTAAACTGACCAGTGATTCAACCTCGCCTTTGTCTTTGCTGCCATTGTTGGTCATAGGTGATCAGGAGCAGTTTGTCCTGAAGCTCATCAACAGGCCGTTGATCGTGCTGCTTGGGGAGCATGGCTTCATCGGCTGCCGTAAGCAAGGCACCGGAACTCTAGACTGCAACCGCTCGTCCTACGACGTCTTCCAGTTAGAGTATAACAACAATGCCTACAGCCTGCGGGGTAAGGCTTCTTATGGCTGACACTTTATCTAAAGTGGTTTTCGACTCTGATGATTGGATATTAGCAACTACGAAATGTTTTATGTTTTGGCAGGATAGCCGTACCAACTAGCATAATGCTAATTTCCTTGTATTTTTTTGCTTGCAACATTGAAACTTTTCCTTAAGTGAGAGTTAATTAAGCAATAAGTCACAAGAGGCTTTACATTACAGTGATTTTACCACAGTTAAAGGTGTTGTTCATTTAATCTACTCTTAATAACAATAATAATAATCACACTCTGCTGTAGTTTGTTAACAGTATGGTATAGTTGCCGGGCAATAGCATATTCAGATATTACTGAACAGTGCTGTGTTTTTTAATAACTTTGTGTATTAATACAGGATTCAGTTGTTGTGAGCGGTCAGATCTGTATACGCTTTAAAAGTGCCAATCAATCATCTCACTCTCTTTTTCTCGCTCGTTCAGACTCGATGGGGAAGTACTGGACAGTGGAGGCGGACGGAACGGTCGTGAGCAGCAGTGGCACTCCAGTCTATTTCCGCTTTGAGTTCCGCGATTACAACAAAGTGGCCATTAAGACCCAGGAGGGCTTTTATCTGAAGGGAGACCATGCTGGGGTGCTCAAGGCCAACGCACAGGGCATCGAAAAGGCCTCTCTGTGGGAGTATTGATACACACGCACAAAGAATCTCAACATAAACATCTCTACACACATACCTAACTATAAAATAACGCTTACACGCCTTTCAGTACCACGTTACGTGAACCATTTTAGAACATAAGACTTTGAAACTACAATGGCAGACACAGTACAAGCACACAACAGCAGTTTTTAATGTGAATACAAAGCACAAGCAAATTAGACACATAAGATAGATTCTGAGAAAAAGCACATAACATGATAAAAATGAAATATTACGCTGCATATATAACATGCTCTATAGATATTTCTATATGGACAACAGGAATGCTTATAAGGCAAAGATAGACCCATCCATGCTCCGCCCACAAATGAGCTCTTTCGTAGCTACTGTCGCTAGGTTGGACAAGCTTTACAGGACGTTAACGTGGCTTAACGCTTTTCATTAAGATCTAAAGATTTTACCTCTATTTTTCTCTATTCCTTGTTCTCAATAAACTAACTTTATTGCTTAACTCGCTTGGGAAAATATTGTCTGTAAATCTCTTAGTAACTCTTGAGTAACTTCAGCTACCATGCTAAAACAGCTAAAGCCAATCTACTTTCTGCTTAGTACATCAATTATATGTTTATCTTTAAAGCTGCACTATGTAAGATTTGGAGATTTGGAGACACCTCTGGTGGAAATGTGTAATTGCATGCAACATGTAGCTTTAGACCCCTTCCCCGACGGGATGAATCTGACATTTGCGAGTGCATTGGAAGAGAATTCAAGAGAACTCAGTCAAAACTGGCCACTTTTTAGAAATATAGAAATATTATTAGAAAAATATCTGTAATATACAATATTACAGCTAGTGGTACAGGTTACAATGTTTACCTAGCTTGCTAGCATGCTAAAACAACTAAAGCCTGTCAACCTTCTGCTTAGTATATCAATCATATGTTTATCTTCAAAGCTGCACTATGAAAGATTTGGAGATTTGGAGACCTCTCTGGTGGAAATGTGTAATTGCATGCAACATGTTGCTTTGGACCCCTTCCCCGAGGGGATGAATCTGACATTTGCGAGTGCATTGAAAGAGAACTCAGTCAAAACTTCACTCAAAGAATGTGTCTTCCAAGGATGTGAGTGAATGATCTACTATTGTCATCATATCTTCATTAGTATAATGTTGAGTTTAAATATGAGACCTTAATTGTTACTAGTTGAGACATGGCACAATGATTTGTGGTGCAACCAAATTTAGTAAAAGTATAGTTTGAAACTAGCTACTGTTAACCACTTCGTAAAGAGTTTACGCACAAACTGGTCCAACCCAGTCCAGGTCCTCAATGGATCAATCTACGCACGTTTCACATTGAAATCAAGTTTTATGAATCAGTACTTTTTTAATTTTAATGATCATTTCAAGATCAAATCCATGCAATCTTTTACAAATGATCTTTGAGAACAGTGTGACCTTTCACACGTATACAAAATAAAAACCATTAAAAATTACACACTAATTACAGGTATTTAACTGAAACACTGGTGCACTAATTTCTCATTGAGGCCACTCCAGTATACCCACCAGGCAAACTTGAACAAACACAGATCGTTTTGTTGCGCTATACCATTATGTGCCGTTGTCCGGTTGGTGTGCGGCCTTTTTCTTGAATGAAATGAATGTAATTTTTGCTCGTCCAAACCTAGCAACAGTAGCTATGAAAGAGCGCTCATGTTCATTTAACATCAGTTGTCCATTAGCTACCACCTAGATTTGCCAAATCAGTGAACGAACTGAGTTTACATTGCCTAAATCTCACTGCCGTCAATTATTTTCAAGACGACACGTATGGCGACCTCTACTGACCCAAAGTTGGGCTCTCATTCATCTGGAGAAACCTGGAGAAATGCTTCAAAGAATACTTGATAATCCCATTTGCTGCTCACTTCCATGCAGGCTGTCTGTCTGCGGCGAGACTACGGCTGCCTGAGATTAAAACTAGTGTAATTCTTGTAGATTAACATAAGCCCTCTGAGCTACCCTACCAAAGGGTTCTGAGCCATTTGACCTATATGTATTCTGTGCGTACAGTATCTATGATGTACTTCGCAAAATATGCTGTACGCCTGGTGCTAACAGTATGATACGCTTGCTGTTCTTAAACATAAACGCTAGTTAATGGCCTGATGTGATCGGCTGCCTTATCAGTAATCATGACATCATAACGGCTATCGCTATATAACCGACGTAAGTTAGTCCGTATATATTAAACAGGTGTTAAAGGAGCCAATTACGTTCCATTGTGAGGAACAAGCAATAGATATATGCAACATTCAAAAGCTTTGCGAATGCTAATGGGTTCATTACGACTTCATAACTGGAAACAGTGTGCTAACGCTAAAAAGGCTGGCGGTGAGCTCCTTCTCGTCCGCCCTTCAGAGATAAGAGCCGTGTCCTGAACCAAAAACATTTTTAGTTGTGAACGGCTGCTCGTCTGCTAATGAGGTCATGTTTTAAATAGCAGCGCAGCAGCAGCTCGGAAAGTTCTGGGAGAATATGGCCGTTCACCTGAGAGAGCTCCTCCAACCCACACACATACAAATGCACGCAAATCATGCACTTCATTTGTTTATCAGACATTTGTGCCGTCTGTGAGCTTCGGTTGCTGCCCCTACTAAGACAACATATATCGCAATGAAGGAACCAGAGTGTAATGTAGCGTTTGCTTAATGGCCGTATTTCCATCTGCACAGTTTTGTCTAAAGCTTTACCCCTTCCTGAATGTATAGGAGGAAAGGAAGTGACAGGAAAGTGTTTGTGCCTTTTTCCAAGTAGCACAAAAAAAAAATGCTGTTTCTCAAAAGGCCTCTTGGTGTTTTTCTCTCTCCATGTACCATGTGTGAAGTCAAAGACCAATAAAGTTTAAAGAGTCAAACTCTTCCAAAACAACTGGTCTGCTTTGTTTGATTGGTTTGAGCCACTACTACAGATGACCTGCTGTTTTAAAAGCTTACACCAGGGGTGGCGCCACACCTCCAAAAGTGGTGGAGTGAAAGGTCTTGGTTCAAAAAAAGCCCCAAAGAAACTCCGAAACATGCTAGTGGGAAAAAACCCAAAATGTGCTAGAGGAACTACAGCTAACTGACTTACAAATCAGAGCTAGACCACTGACTGACTAACTTTCAGTACTATATTGTTGCTGTCAGACGAAACCCTTGTATCTCTGAAATGGTAACTTTACAGGAGAAGGAAAAAACCTACTTTAATTTTAATGGAAGTCAATGGAAGCAGAGTTTTTTCCACGTCATTTTGGGTCATTTCTTTTAGTCCTTTCATCATGAAATTTACACACAATATAAAGGGCAACAGGCATTTTCAAATTATGTCAAACACTGGAAAACGTCAAAAATGGAGATACGAGGTTTTCTTCCAACAACAGCGATATATAGGATATGTAATGACTATAATATATAACATCCAAATAAACCTGTTCATAAACAATACTACTGTTTGCTTCACAAGGCTCCTTTGCTGCCTGACATATCTGAAGAACATCAAATCTTAGCAATTTAGCAGTGGGAAGTACTGAAACTGACATTTAGCACATTTCACTATTATGTTGTGGTAACATAAACTGTGGCTGTGGCATCAGTTTGTGTATTGCAGTAAAAAACATCTACCAGATTATTGAGCTCTCACTGAAACTTGAAATCAGGTTTCGTTGTTTAGGAAACGTCCCACCCCCCAAGGTACAAATGGAGATTTTGATTGGTTCTACTACTGAGATTGACTGTTCGTGCCTATAGATTGAGAGTCCATTCAGTTTAAGAACAGTGGAGGTGTGTTTCATTAACTCAATCAGAAAGTGGTGGGGTGTCACCCCAGTACTTTGAAAAGCAGTGGGTCGAATGCCTGTGGTTCCGGAAGCCACGGCTTACTCCCGCAATTAAAATCTGTCAAATGATTAAGTTAAATGGTCATCTATACTCACTGTCCATGTACCATTTGTGTTAGCCACCTCTAGCCCTTCATCAATACTCTGTTTCTGACCACAGAGCCACGCTTCGATGGACGCTTTAGGGTGGTGGACCACTCTCAACCTAGCATTACCACTGATATGTGTAAAAAAACATTATAGACTTGTACCAACACAGCACACACTGCCATGTCAGTGTCACAGTTATGGACCGATGATAACGGACCACCACCAAAATAATGACTAATCACATCAGTTACCCTGTGGTCATACACTGATGATGACTGGAGGCATAGGGGGTCAGATAAGCTGAGCATCAACAGATGAACTACAGTCTAATTGTACACCTATATAGTGAAGCCATAATGTAGGTGGAGCACATGAAGTGGCCAGTGAGTGGAAGTACACGGTAGGTGTTTCTAATAAAGTGGCCAATGTGTAGAAGTACTAAGGAGGTGTTTCTAATAAAGTAGCCAGTGAGTGGAAGTACAAGGTGGGTGTTTCTGATAAAGTGGCCAGTGAGTGAAAGTACAAGGTAGGTGTTTCTAATAAAGTGGCCAGTGAGTGGAAGTACAAGGTGGGTGTTTCTGATAAAGTGGCCAGTGAGTGGAAGTAGTAGGTAGGTGTTTCTAATAAAGTGGCCAGTGAGTGGAAGTAGAAGGCAGGTGTTTCTAATAAAATGGCCAGAGAGTGGAAGTACAAGGTAGGCGTTTCTAATAAAGTGGCCAGAGAGTGGAAGTAGAAGGTAGGTATTTCTAATAAAGTGGCCAGTGAGTGGAAGCGCAAGGTAGGTGTTTCTAATAAAGTGGCCAGTGAGTGGAAGTAGAAGGTAGGTATTTCTAATAAAGTGGCCAGTGAGTGGAAGCGCAAGGTAGGTGTTTCTAATAAAGTGGCCAGTGAGTGGAAGGAGAATGTAGGTGTTTCTAATAAAGTGGCCAGAGAGTAGAAGTACAAGGTAGGTGTTTCTAATAAAGTGGCCAGTGAGTGGAAGTAGAAGGTAGATGTTTCTAATAAAGTGGCCAGAAAGTGGAAGTACAAGGTAGGTGTTTCTAATAAAGTGGCCAGAGAGTGGAAGTACAAGGTAGGTGTTTCTAATAAAGTGGCCAGAGAGTGGAAGTACAAGGTAGGTGTTTCTAATAAAGTGGCCAGTGAGTGGAAGTACAAGGTTGGTGTTTCTAATAAAGTGGCCAGTGAGTGGACATAGGAAGGTTGTTTGGTTTTAAACTTCATCCTGCTTCATTTGTCCTTTGTCCTTATTTTCTCTTGAATACACACAAAGACACACACAGATTCCTTCTTGTGGATTCACGACTTACAGTGTAATGATCTTGGCTTTCAGTGATGAGTTGCCATGGAGACAGAAAGTGCAAATTCACCAAAGCAGTGGGTGTGAAGTCAGAAGTGTTTTACATAACGAAGTCACATACACACAAACACACACACACACACACACAAACACACACACACACACACACACGTCTCTCCAGCTTTTCCTCATCACTTTAACTTTTTGAAAAGAATCCAAGAGTTTGGAATCGATAATGTAGGTCACGATGTAACTGAAGAACCACGCAGAACCAATGACAATTTGAGGTCATGCATTTCTCTGCGGTGAACACACACAGATGTTTGTTTTTGTACCTTGTGGGAACATAAACATGTCCTATATGCACTATTTCTATGTAAGCATACATACACTGATCAGGCATAACATTATGACCACCTCCTTGTTTCTACGCTCATTGTCCATTTTATCAGCTCCACTTGCTATATAGGTGCACTTTGTAGTTCTACAGTTACAGACTGTAGTCCATCTGTTTCTCTGCATACTTTGTTAGCCCCCTTTTACCCTGTTCTTCAGTGGTCAGGACCCTCATGGACCCTCACAGAACAGGTACTACTTGGGTGGTGGATCATTCTCAGCACTGCAGTAACACTGACGTGGTGGTGGTGTGTTAGTGTGTGTTGTGCTGGTCTGAGTGGATCAGACACAGCAGTGCTGCTGGAGTTTTTAAACACCTCAGTGTCACTGCTGGACTGAGAATAGTCCACCAACCAAAAATATCCAGCCAACAGCGTCCTGTGGGCAGCGTCCTGTGACCACTGATGAAGGACTAGAGGATGACCAACACAAACTGTGCAGCAGCAGATGAGCTATCGTCTCTGACTTTACATCTACAAGGTGGACTGACGAGGTAGGAGTGTCTAATAGAGTGGACAGTGAGTGGACACAGTGTTTAAAAACTCCAGCAGCACTGCTGTGTCTGATCCACTCAGACCAGCACAACACACACTAACACACCACCACCACGTCAGTGTTACTGCAGTGCTGAGAATGATCCACCACCCAAGTAGTACCTGCTCTGTGAGGGTCCATGGGGGTCCTGACCACTGAAGAACAGGGTAAAAGGGGGCTAACAAAGTATGCAGAGAAACAGATGGACTACAGTCTGTAACTGTAGAACTACAAAGTGCACCTATATAGTAAGTGGAGCTGATAAAATGGACACTGAGCACAGAAACAAGGAGGTGGTCATAATGTTATGCCTGATCGGTGTATGTACTAATAAAAATGTGTGCCGTATGTGTTCTATATGGGTCATTCTACAGAAACGTCCATTTTTGTGTTTACAGCTTTTCTAGCGTTTACAGATATATTACACTTGAAAAACATGTTAGGGTTACAATTTATTTATATTTTGATATAAAATTATAATTTATATAAATTTATATAAATTGATATAAAAGGTTATTTTAACAGTTACACCTTATTGAGCCTCAATTCAGCAATATTGGTTTATAAATCAATAATATAGAATTCCAAGCACCACAGCTCGTCCTCACAGTCATGTGTAAAGGCTGAGGCCATATTTTGAGGTAAAAAACATGTTTTTTTGCCATTTTAACGACAATAATCTATATATGACTATAGAATATATAAATTAAATGACATAAAGAAAACAAATGCCAAATAAACATTATAAAACATATAATGAAAGTTCCCCAGGAGTTGTGTCACTGGTGTTACTGCATAACAAAAAATCTCTTATTTTGAAATAAAAGTCACACTGATGACATCACTCAACTTCCTTTCACCTGTTTTCTGAGGATCTATGAAGAAAAGCACATGGTGAGTCCACTGTGTCTTTCAGTTATCAGAGATTTTCTCATTTAGCTCATGATTTCATATGAAGCTTTTAGCTGAAGTCACTGGTGTGACCTACTTTATTCTGAGGTGATTGTGAAAAAAATAGAACACAAATGGATTAAATGACATATTTTAGTGGATATTTCACGACTGATGACATGTGGTTTGATGTTCTGTAGCAGTTATTTTGTAAAATGCCTTTTTTTATTTAAAAATGTCTTTGGTGTAACCTTTTTTATGTGTATCACCAGTGACTCCTATGGATAAATAAAAAGTGGACGTTTCTGTTGAATGACCCAGATATGTACTGTAAGTATCTCCAAACCTCAATTCCATAAAGAGTTGAGACAGTGTGTGAAACGCAAAAAAACAGAAAGCAGTGATTTGTAAATCAATATTGACCTGTATTTAAACAAAACAGTACAAAGACGAAATACTTCATGTTTTATGAACTTCATTGTTCTCACTTTATTTGCTAATCATTGCTTTCTGTTTTATTAGCATTTCACATACCAACTTAACCATTTCCCCTACATACTATATACTTACATTACATATAAGTGCCTATATGTAACGATACATTGTCACTGGTGTGACAAAACCTCTCCATTTTTATCATTTAATACCTTTTAAAGTGAGATTGGTAGTAGAGTGGGTCGCACTGAGGAGTTCAAAGACTTTAAACGTGGTCCTGTCATAGGTGTGTCAGGAACTTCATGAAATAGGTTTCAAAGGATCACTATGCGCAATGCCAAGTGTCGGCTGGAGTGGTGTAAAGCACAATGCCACTCTACTCTGGAGCAGTGGAAAGGTGTCTCTGGAGTGATGCATCACGCTGGGTTTGGTGGATGCCGGGAAAACACTACATGTCAGAATGCACAGTGCCAACAGTAAAGTTTGGTGGAGGAGGGATAATGGGCTGGGGCTGTTTTTCAGGGTTTATGCCCCTTAGTCCCACTCCAAAATCTTGTGGAAAGCTTCCCCGAAGAGTGGAAGCTATTATAGCCACAAAGGGGAGCAACTCCATATTAATGTCCATGGTTTTTGTATGGGATGTCCAGCAAGCTCATATAGGTGTAATAGTGAGGCGTCCCCATGCTTTTGGTTATATATTGTATGTCAGTATCTCTGTGTCCCATATTAACACATCATTACTGTCCAAAAAACCATTTTGTTCAGTTTCAGTTTCAATTGCAACACAACAGTTGGACCAACAGAATTGCATTTTGAAGATACTTGGGGTTTTCCGGACAGTAATGATAAGCAATAGTACCATATAAGTACATATCTGTGGTTTAAAGCTAATCTTAAATCTAACCTTAGCCTCAGTAACCAAAAAGAAGTGCCCTTTTGCCCTTCATAAACTGAGTACTTTAATAATAATAATATTTTTTTTGGTTCTGACCTGTTAGGTCTCTGGTTTACAATTTTGTCCTGAAAATATATGGAAACAAGTACAAACACACACAGCAGACTTGGCGGGAGATACTAATGCCTAACAGATGTGAATATTTTTTTTCTGTGTAAGGAGTGAAGACTAACGGCAGCTGTTGGTCGGTGTGTGTGTCGGGGGCGTCGTGCCAACACCACAAGGAGATAAAACTGGCTGTAGCGGTCTGCTGGTCGCTTTAACCAATCACACAGAATAGTCTGTTTTAGGGAGAGACTGAGAGATAAATAACTAGGCCAATATGTCACTGAGGGCCTGTGAAACTCCCAAAGGGCCACACAGTGACATCATTATCAGCGGTGTGAGCTGTGTGTGCATGTTCAGGGGGCCTACAGATGAAACATACCACCTTCCCAGTTTAAATGAGTCAGTTTGAGAGCAGGAGAGAAGAATCTATGGGCGCTATTAGTTTTTACGCCAAAATAGAGAGGACGTTCGCAGAGTCACTTTTGATGATCACAGGAATATGAACACGAGATGTGATGGAGGGATTTGAAAGTAGGTCACTGCTAGGTGGGCAGTGGTCAGCTCCAGGGCAGCAGGCAAGTGCTGCCACCTAGTGGTGAAATCAACGCACCTTCATACAGGGATTTCTGACTTAGTGTGATGTTTTGGCTAAATTGAATTGACACAGTTTCCACTGTTTTTTTTTCAAAATTTCAAGCATAATTCAATCGTTGAGATCTAAACAGAGTCATTTAGAGTTGAAATGATTGACTGCAGTGAAACTTGCCAACTCTGATTTCTTTACAGTAGTGGTGATGGAACCAGGGGTCAATGCAAATATAGCCATTTTACTTACTATCCAAAATGATCAGTGAACCTACAGTGTCTCCTGAGTTTTGATATGAAATATTGATGATGGTAAAATAGTGATAAAAAAAAAATCTTAAAACTAGCATAAAAAATATCTCAGGCATCATGTAATAACTTTCTGTGAGGAAGCGTTTAGAGGTGGACGTCTGGTTCCTGTCACCACCACTGTGAACAATTCTGACTCGGCAAGTTCCTCAAAAATGGCACATTTCATGTCAAACCATTCTGAATGACTTTGTTCACACACACACACACAAACACACACACACACACACATATATGTATATATATATATATATATATATATATATATATATATGTATATGTATTTATTGTTTAATTATTCAAAAAAATCGACAAATCAGTGGAATTCCCCAAATCTAAATATTAGCATATTAGCATAGTCAAACTGCCCTGCTAAAACATGCAGACCAGCATGAATTTATGCTGGACTAAGCTGGTTTATGCTGGTTTATGCTGGCCTAGTGTTGGTTTAGCTGGTCACCCAGCATGATTATGCTGGTTGACCAGCAAACCGGCATCCAAAACACAACATATGCTAGTTTTGCTAGTTTTTTTCTAGCAGAGTACAAGCCTAAAACATCACACATTTGCCTTAAACCACACCATGTCATCAAGTAATCTCAAATAGACTTGTTTATGTGGTTTCTGGCAATGATATGATATTATAATCTATAAAAATGTACAAAGGAAGGGCACTAGCTAAAAACAGTAGTAGTAGCCAACGCCAAAGCCTCAGTTTTGTCCATAGTTTCTTTGAGAACTGACCAAACGCTGATTGTTAGGCTTCTTTCATGGCTGACTCATACTGTTCATTGACTCTGAACCTCATCTTGGCTCATAGAACCCATTAAATGTTTGTGTTGGTTACTGGTGGTTCTGTAATGTGTTTTGGTTTTGTAATTAGTTGATATTACAATGTAAAGGAGTCTAATGGTTTAACAGGTGACCATTGGCTGATTCTGAATGCCTTTGGTGGTTTCCTAACGGGATCTACAGGCGTTCTACTGTAAACTTAAGCCAAATCCCATTAGAAAGCAAAACGGTTTCTAATGGTCCTTTTTCACAGGGATGTGGCAGCACTTGTTGGCCGCTTTTTCAATTGTGACTTAAAATGAAACTCATTTTCATGTGATGTTTCCATTATTTTGTCATGGCTTCAGATTCAGCTCACTTCTTCTGGAAGAACAAACTCCAGCATTCAGTCTTAACCAATCATCTAGTAGATGATTACATTTTCTAGACGAAGCAATCTGGAGTTGAAAACGACGTAGAACATCTGCCGGCAATAATGAAGCCTGAAAACCAAGGCTATAAATAATCCAACAGCGCAAATTCAGTTTAATTAGAAAAGTTTAATTAAAAAAATATGGGCACTCTTTCATTAAACCATTGTGAACAATTATAAAACAAAAACTAAACCACAGACTGTTTGATTAGACGCTTAAATAAAACAATAACCATAATTAAAAACCCTACATTTGAAACTGTTCCAACAAACAGAATATTCCATCAATAAATAGATTCCAATAGACATTCCTAATGCTAAAACAAAGAAATCATCTTCATAATCTCTGAAGAGACATAAAACAACCAACGTCCAACAGATGGTGCTGCAATGCTGAGTAAATGAGTCTCAAAAGATATGCTAAAGGAGGGATAAGACGCCATTTTCCACTCAGTTAATATGTGACTGCTTGCTGGTAATGATTTTATAGTTAAATGTGGAATTTTCAGGGACTCTTGACTCTTTAAAAGCTTTTAAATGTCAAAAATTCACTGTCAAATACACACTAGATTGATTCCAGTTTGTCCAAATGACAAATACAGTCCTTTAAGAAGCGTCCAACACAAATCTTCATGTGTAATAATTGGTGTATTTTTAAATTAATAATAATAGAGTTTGAAGGAACTTTGTAGAAAAATGCACAATTTTCCCTCAGTTCCAAATGTAGTCAGTCAGCCAAGACATGTTCGGTGTCTCAACTTGCTTTATCTTTGCACTGGAGCTACGAGGCTAATGCTAACTTGCTAGCTTGCTTGCTAACAAGTAATGGAAACACCCTACCAACTAGCACTGTGCTAACTACATGCCTAATTCATCACACACTCGGCTCAAACTGTGTTGAATTGTTAAGTAACCTCTAATAGGCTCGGTTAGGTGGTTTCTGTCACTGTATGTTACACTGTTATCTGCAAAAATGGATGAAAGTACAGATAAAATTCAGGCTTCAAGATGAAACTTACATTTCCAGGGTGCTGTATTCCCTCAGCTTTCTATTTATACATCACACCTCAATGAAATACGGTAAGGAAACTTATGAAAGCATTCTTAAGGTGACAGTTCTGGTCGTGGGGTGGCCAGAAGTCATTCAGGGGACAAAATACAGTGAGTTTTTCAATAGGAATGCAGTTAGGTTAGCTTCAGGGAGCTAATTAGCTAGCTAAGCAAACATAGCATGGCAAAGATTCATATGAATGCTGGTTTATTCTTGTCTAGAGCTGGTCTGGTGCTGGTTTAGCTGGTCACCCATCATGGTCATGCTGGTTGACCAGCATACCAGCATTTAGCTCATTTTTTTAATGGTTGCTCAGATCCAGTCTTTTTTTGTTTTAACGGTTTGCATTTGTGTTGCAAGTGACCCATATCTGTCATTATTGTGATTGACCTGCACTCTGATATGATACACATCCTCACCAATAGTCATGTGATTGAACCAAATGAATCATAACAGCAACATCTAAAAAACTAACTAGCAGAACAAGCCTTTATTTCAGTGATGATTTTGCTGATTTTTTAGAGTGAGATAAAGGTAAAAAGTCAGATGCGTTGCTATTGGAATGTGCGCTGGAATAACTTCAGCTTGAGCCCGGTTGTCATGTTTATGCTGAAGGATGGTGCATGTACACTGGACAAACACATGGCCATTCTTATTAAAGTCTCAAGGCTGTGAATGGGATATGTGTCTGATCCAAGACCACATATGAAAAGTGATTTGGATCGGATTTGAAAAGACCAGATTTGTGTCACAAAAGTTATTGTTCAAATTAAAAAAAGTATGACGTGATAAAATATGGTGAGCGTGCAACTGTCGTGAGTCGGCCTGTAAAGCCTGAAATAGGAAGATAAAAATCAGCGTTGGGTCGGGAGTTTTTCGGACCATGGTGTACGTCTTTACGTACAAAAGTCACACACACAGGCTCAAAAAGAAGATCCAGCTCCAAGTTTAGGTCTTAAAAGCAAAATCAACATTATACTGATAAAGATAGGACAACATTAGTAATTAATTCATTCACATCCTCAGAGGATACATTCTTCACCAAGTTTTGACTGAGTTCTCTTTGAATTCTGTTTCAATGCACACACCATCATGAGAGTCATCCACTTACATCCAATTACAAAATGTTGTTCCGCAACTTGCGTGCAATTACACATTTCCACCAGAGAGGTCTCCAAATCCACAAATCTTAGATAGTGTGGCTTTAAAGCAAAAAAATGGATTTGCCGTATAGCCATAAGGCCCTGGGAACATAGCATTGGCACTGCTGTTGCTACCATTTTTAGCTATGTAACAAGGACACTAGCAGGATATATGCAAAGTCCTTACAGGAAAGTCTGTCCACTTGCCAGGAACCTTGGCAACGTCTCTGGGTAGTTATTTCTAGTCATACCAGTCAAGACCAGACACCTGTCTGTTTGAATGGGGAGAGACCTATAATCCCCAAACTGACAGCCACAATAATGTTCCAAGACATTGAAATCACTGGTAAAATCTGACAACATGAATAGTTTGCAGCATTTGACTCAAACAACGCACAAAAACTTTTTTTTCAGTTTTTTCAGGTTTTTTTTTCAGTTTGTTTTGGCTGAACAGATGCCATACCAGCTTTCTATTCATTGTTCAACTCGTGAACTGTCTCATCCTCATCCCCTGTGTCTCCATTACTTGTTAGCTGCATTAGCCTTGGAGCTCCGGTGCAAACATGTCTCAGCTCATTGACTACATTTGGGGTTAAAGGGGGAATCTGACTGCTTTAAATATCCCACTGTTCTGGTGTTTGGGCTCGCGTCCATCACTTCCAGCGATTAATCCTGCGTAGCTGTATGTAGGCCAGGGTCATACACACCAGTATGATGCCCAACAGAGCCACATGATTCTGCCAGAATCCCCACACACTGTAGTCCATCCCCTGAGCTTTCAGATACATCTCTCCTGTGAATCTGAAAGTAGAAGAGTTCATTTTTTACTTTCCACACAATTCAGCCCGGTTTATTTAATTCATTCATGGACACATGTGACATGGCATTCTTAACTTACAGTTTACCACTTAATTAGAAACAACAACCAGCCCTCCTTGTACACTATATGGCTTCCTAATTATTGAGTGTAGCTGTTTCAGCCACACTCACTGCTAACAGGTGTATAAAATCAAGCACATAGCCTTGCAGTCTCCATAAACAAACACTGGCAGTAAGATGAATCATACAGAAGAGCTCAGTGACGTAAAACATACCACTGTCATAGGATGCTACCTTTACCACAAGCCACTTTCTGAAATTTCTGCCCTGCTAGGTCTGCCCCAGACAACTGTAAGTGCTTTAATTGTGCGATGGAAGCATCTAGGAGCAACAACAGTTCAGCCACAAAGCAGTAGACCACACAAACTCACAAAGCCGGGTTGTGCTGAAGCATGTACTGCATAAAAAATGGCCATTACTCGGTAATGCACATTACTCCAAACCACGTCTGGAAGCAACATCAGCACAAGAACTGTGTGTCGGAAGCTTCATGAAATGGGTTTCAATGGCCGAGTAGCAGCACACAAGCCTAAGATCACTATGCGCAATGCCAAGCATCGACTGGAGTGGTGTATAGCACGCCGTCACTGGACTCTGGGACAGTGCAAACAGTGTTCTCTGGAGTAATGAAACATGCTTTAGTACCTGACAGTCTGATGGACAAATCTAGGTTTGGCGGATGGCAGGAAAATGAGTAGGAAAACCTACTGGAATGCATAGTTCCAACAGTAAAGTTTGGTTGAGGAGGTATAATGGGCTGGGGCTGTTTTTCAGGGTTTGAGCCCCTTAGTTGTGGTGAAGGATAGTGTTTATGCTATGGTATACAACTGTAAACTAACAAACTGATTCAGGCAACTCAAGCAAATGAGAGCCTTTATAATGTTTCTAATGACTCATATGTCAGGTACTGTCTTTACAATTTCAAATAAACTGCTAGTTTGTAGTAAAATAGCCCTCACTGTGATTTCTGCATTTCCCACCACATATTCATCCCCAGTTGCACTTTCACTTCTTGTGGGGGAATAAAATCACGGTCAGGGTTTCCAGTAAAATGGCTCATGAGTGTATATTACAACGTAATCAATGTTACGATGGTCTGATGTAGCATCATCTCTGTCATTATCAACTGGCTTTAACAACATACCTGTTGGTTATTTATGATGAGTAAGAAATAATACATACATAGTAAGGTTGCTATAGAACACCTGGCCTGTCATTTCATTGATGGTCACAGCCTGGAAATTGAAAAGTAAAATTATAATAATGCAATTTATTACAGTAGCACACAGAAAAGTACATTAAATGAAATTAAAGTAGTAGTGCTGCTGATGGAGCCAGGAGCCAGCCTGACATTAAAACTGAGACATTAATAACTTTTCAAAAGCAAAAAAAATGTTGTTATGTTTTACTGTACTCGGGCCAAGATTATCCTGTGGGTTTTAAGGACCCAGGGGCCTTAAAACCCTGGTTATTACCCATAATCTTCTATTAAAATTGAATGACTTTTGCCCGCCTACATTATTACATCACTGTGCACCAGTGGGAGGGCAAAACAATATGGACCTATGCTCTGAGCTCTGAGACCCCCCCGATACTGCAATTCACTCAGAAGTACAATTCATATTGAATGAATTCATATTTCTTTGAACTTAATTGTGTCTATTTTACTGTTTTCTGAATAGCCCCACCCACTGTCACTTAAAAGAACCTTTCTCCTTTACAATTCACTCCTTTTTTTTCCTCGTCTATATTTCCTTACGTCAAGTCCGTATTTGAAGATGCTGATCCACTTGAGCCAGGACAACCAGTTGAGCATGGAGTTCAGATTCACCAGGAAGCCACCAAACACCTGAGAAAGACAAAGAGTATATATATATATATATATACATATATATATATATATATATATATATATATATATATACTCACATATGTACATAGTACAAAATAGAAGCCAGACATAAGTCAGACAGAGTCACATACACTATATGTCCAAAAGTATCCCCTTCTAATTAGTGCATTCAGCTACTTTAAAGCACATTTTTTTGTTAAAACTGAAAGAATTCCAAAAATTATAGTGTCCATGCGTTGCTGTGAGTCTGAAATTATAACGCATTAGCTGTTCATTTTATCTGTCTTTTTGGAGCAAAAGCAGGGATGATTGGCTATTTTTTCTAAATAAATGCCCTCAAAACTGACCTCACTACTGCTCTTGTGCCTGAAAGCAATCAGATTCTCACAGCAATGTTTGAACATCTAGTGTAAAGCCTTCCCAGAAGAGCAGAGGCTGTTACTGCAGCATGTAATACCTTTGTTTTATATGAAACATTAGATGAGCAGGTGTCTACAAACGTTTGGACATATAAACTGATCAGGTATAACATTATAACCACCTCCTTGTTTCTACACTCACTGTCCATTTTATCAGCTCCACTTACTATATAGGTGCACTTTGTAGTTCTACAGTTACAGACTGTAGTCCATCTGTTTCTCTGATACTTTGTTAGCCCCCTTTTACCCTGTTCTTCAGTGGTCAGGACCACCATGGACCCTCACAGAGCAGGTACTATTTGGGTGGTGGATCATTCTCAGCACTGCAGTGACACTGACGTGGTGGTGGTGTGTTAGTGTGTATTGCGCTGGTCTGAGTGGATCAGACACAGCAGTGCTGCTGGAGTTTTTAAACACCTCAGTGTCACTGCTGGACTGAGAATAGTCCACCAACCAAACCTATCCAGCCAACAGCGTCCCGTGGGCAGCGTCCTGTGACCACTGATGAAGGACTAGAGGATGACCAACACAAACTGTGCAGCAGCAGATGAGCTATCGTCTCTGACTTTACATCTACAAGGTGGACTGACAAGGTAGGAGTGTCTAATAGAGTGGACAGTGAGTGGACACAGTGTTTAAAAACTCCAGCAGCACTGCTGTGTCTGATCCACTCGTACCAGCACAACACACACTAACCCACCACCACCTTGTCAGTGTTACTGCAGTGCTGAGAATGATCCACCACCCAAATAGTACCTGCTCTGTGAGGGTCCATGGGGGTCCTGACCACTGAAGAACAGGGTAAAAGGGGGCTAACAAAGTATGCAGAGAAACAGATGGACTACAGTCTGTAACTGTAGAACTACAAAGTGCACCTATATAGTAAGTGGAGCTGATAAAATGGACAATGAGTGTAGAAACAAGGAGTTGGTCATAATGTTATGACTGATCGATGTAATGTATAATAAATAGAAGGTTGTCCAGCTCTAATGAATGATTCAATTCAAAGTAATAAAGCTAAAAGACAAAAAGTTGGTGAATCCAAAAACACGCTGACCATCATGAAGACGTAGGGCAGGGCGATGAGGATGTTGGCCATAGCGAAAGAGCTCACGCTGGCACTGGCCAGGAAGGCCAAACTCACTGCAGCAAGACTGACCAGAGACATGGTCAGCGAGAAACACAGAAACGCAGTGAAGGCCGGCTTCAGCCCTGAACACACAAGCATACACAGTTTACACAGTTAGTTTATGGCTCACTGTTGCGTAATTCCACCTGTAATTCACTGATAAAAGCATATGACCACAAGTTGAAAGGCAAGACGCTGTTATCAGCAGCAAGCTGTGATATTATTTTGGCCTAATTGCTTCTCTTGTAGCTCACTGAAACATGTCTGTGTTCAGGTTCAATACCACATTGGTGGAGAACATATTTTATTATGATTTGTATTTCATAAAAAATGATGAAGCACTATGTGTTCAGTCCGCCCAATGACAGCTGGGATAGGCTCCAGCACCCACCGCGACCCAGAAGGATAAGCGGTTTAGATGATGTATGTATGTATGTATGTATGTATGTATGTGTTCAGCGCAGTTCTGAAAAGGCTTTGCATGATAAAGCAAAAAAGTGCAGGTATCAATAAAGAACTGAATGTAATTTTAAATCATCATGTAAATAATTATGTATTTTGCAGGCCTGTAAAATGATTTGAAAATGAATCCTAAATAATCAGGCATTTAATCTGATGAATAAAACGTAGGGTGAGCATGAAAATATGGTGAACACAGTTTCCTATTTTAATCACTGACGTCCAGTAAGAACAATAGTAGCGAGATGATTCAACTCCTCCGAGAGCCTTCGCTCTCATATTGCTCCATATCAGTGCTACGTTTGGCTTATTCGATATACTTCAGTGATAAATAAATACATACACAAAGCCATTTTACCTCCTTTTTTGTATAATTTAAAAACTCCAGTTGCCCTTTACATTGTGTTAAAATTTCATGATGACCAACAGAAATGGTTCAAAAGTACTTAAACAGGCCAACAACGAAGTAACAGCATCTCACCCTCATTTAAATGGTAAAAAAAAAGAGAAACGTTGATTGAAAATGTGTTTATTTATCTTGCTCTCCTGCTCCAGTCAATGCAGTGTTCAAACAGCTGGAGCGGCAGCAGATCAACAGTGAAAATGTTGGTTGTGTTTGCTTCATTTCATGGTTTCTATGAGGACATTAGACAGACGATTGATGTGAAAGATAATCCCCATAGATGACAATATCAGGGACAACATGCCAAGACGTTTGAAGCACAACATCTGACAAGATACGAAGAATACAGCAAAGAAAAAAACAGAGGCAGAAAGAAAAGCCTCCACTAGCACAACAACAGTATCATCCAACAGTGCCAACATCATCATCATCATCATCATCATCAGCTTCAGTTTTGGAAACAACAAAAAAATTAACAAACAACAGAACAAAAGTGTAAATCATAGGTAAAAAACAATGGAACTCATTGTCTTGGATGACCAGCTGTTCTCTGTTGATGAGGCCAATGGATTTTGTAGCATACATTATACATGGTGTAACGATTAAAGAGCGTTTTTTAAGTAAACTATTTGTCTTTATTGTCAGAAATTTTCAGTTTTCCGCCAAGAATGTTGATTTTGGTGCATCACCACTATAAACTGGAGGTAAATAACACTGGAGATATTATTATATAGAGGAGCAATGTACTCACCCATCATATAATAGGCGATGGCAGAGAAAATAAGGATTGGGACGATGCGGTTTGGTATCAAATCTACAAACACTTTGGACAGGAAGTACACAGAGGTGCGGTAATACCCCCCAGAGTTCTCATGCCTGTGAAACACAAACAGGAACCTCTTACAATTGTGTAACTTGCAATAGGTTAACTTACAATGGTGTAACTTACAATAGTGTCATTTTGTTCAAATTCGTGCAGTAATGAAAATGTCACACTCACACAAACAGGGCTCTCTCGTTGATGAAGAGCTCCACTGCCGATAAGTTGGCAAACACCATGTTGATGACAAGGAAGAAGAACGCTCCGGTTCTGCATGTGAACACAAGTTTGTACTGTACCTTTGTGGGGTGTTTCTATTGTTGCTCCTCTGCTGAACCCAACTCAACCTTAACCTCAGCAAGATTTTCATGCTTTCCAAAAATCCCAGGACGTTTGAACTTAACAAAATACTACAGTCATATCCAAAAGTTTGAACATCTCTGATCAAATTACATGTTTTATCACAAGGAACACACTTAAATATGATACTTTTCTGCAAGTTTTTCAGCAAAAGTTTCTGTTTATTTGCTGAGCTCAACACGTTGAAAAGAACAAAACCTAAAATATAAAGGGTGCCATAACTTTTGCACGGGCCACATTTTATGTTTTGCTTTTTCCCAATATGTTAAATTCAGCAAACAAACAGTAACTGTGCAACTTTTGTATATGACTGTGTCGATTTTATGCACTTTTGTACTGTGTGTTTTCACAACGTCCGAATTTTTAACAAAACTAAAACTACATGCAACAAACAAACGAGTCATAAAAGTTTAAGCAAGCTTTTGAAATTACTTTTACCATGAAAATACTTTTTGTTGGCATGAAAGGTTCTTGTTACTAAATGTAAATGTATGTAAAAACGTTAAATTCTAAAAGGCAAATGCAGCCTAGCGATTGCATTTCGCTAGATTTATGAGATTACATTTCTCTTTTTTCTTCCCAATTTTTACCCTCCAATTTAGTCGTCTCTGCCTACTAGGTCCCCCCAATACTACCAAGCTGAAACGGTGAAGGTTTGCACATGCTTCCTCAGAAATGCATGAAGCTAGCCACTGCATTTTTTCAAACTTCTGATAATGCAACGTCATTGGATAACTTTGCATGCCTCTACGCTAACGTCCCCCATTTTTGCTCCAACCTAACTCAAAATGCATAGAGATAGAGCAAAAATGTGGACCATTAGGGAGACCCTGACGGCTGACTTGACAACCAATGAGCTAACAAACACCCACATTGGCTAGTAAGAGAAGAGGAAGAGGGGGGGCATGCTACCCTCCCAAAGAAAGAGAGGCCAATTGTTCTTTCTTGGACTCCCGGCTATGGTTGGCTGTGGCACCATTGGGGGTCAAACTCACAATTAACAGCCAATGCTTTGTCCTTATTTCTTTGGTTGAGATTCTTCAGAAAGTTTCCAAAAAAGTATGTTAGTTTGCTGATGTACCAGGATTTGAATACCATGCTAAGAAAAAAAGCCACATCCCTTTAAAATTTTACAAAGTTTGGACAGATATGGTTGGATGTGGCCAGGTAGACTAGATGGATGGATGGATGGATGGATGGATGGATAGATGGATACCTGTTCTGCAGGGCTTCAGGTAGGGTGTGAGGCATCTGGAAGTAGATAAGGCCCACCAGCACCGCAAAGAATATGTTGAGGATTATCTGAGCATAGGAGGTCTGTGGATTCCTCGCCAAGTTCAACACCGCTCTCCAGCACACTATCTTCAACTGAACACGCAGACACATACAGATAGACACCAGATGATTAGTTTATGGTCTGTTTTATCTTCATTTCACCTCAGGTTCACCTCAGGTGCAGCTCAGGGCTTGATAACTGCAGTTGACCCCCAGGTCAACATCAGGTAACTGCATAACAAGTTAATCATTGATTCCCACTCATGATTCTCCTTGAGAGACCTGAGGAAGCCTCCATGGGTGCACACGCATACCCAGGACATACCTGATAGAAGAAGGACGTAACATAGGACAGCGATGCTCCCTTTTCTGAGATTGGAGAATCTGCTGGGCCAGCAATGTGCATCAACTCCTCTGTCACATCAGCACAATACTGAGAGTCTCTGTAGAGCTCAGCTAAAGATTTGTCTGCAGGAAAGTCAGATGGAGAATCTTAATTCACAAATTACATAAACATTTAAAATATCTATTTAAATGTTTTATAGAAAGATGAATTTGGTTCAGATTGCTCCATGGAAATGTAACTGATCCAGTGTCTATGTAGCCCTAATTTCCAATGGTGAACTGTTTCTACTACAGTCTACCATAATGCTCATTTCTTCTAGCACCCCTATGACGTACTATGTTAGTGCTATGCAAAAACTGACACATGAACCTTTTTTATTGGGTCTAAATTAAATATGGATATTTGAAGCTTGTAAAACACATTGCATATGTTTTATTTGAAGCTTATAACACATATTAACACGTTTCACTTTCTACAGTGCTACGGTGACTGTAAAACATCAGCATAGACCAACGTGGCTGGTCGTCAGTAAAACCAGCATATCGCTGTTGTCGGATCAAAACCTCGTATCTCCAAAAAGGTAACTTCACAGGAGAAGGAAAAAACATACTTTACTTTTAATGTAAGTCAATGGAACTAGATGTTTTTCCAAGTAATTTTGGGTCATTTCTGTTGGCCCATTCAACATGAAATTTACACACAATATATAGGACCACGGGTATTTTCAAATTGTCAAAAACTGAAAAATGGCAAAAATGGAGATACGAGGTTTTGTTCTGACAGCAGCGATATGTTATGTTTTGCATGCTGGTATGCTGGTCAGCTACAATGGAAGTTGTTACGCTGATCACCAGAAAAAAAAAAAACAGCATTGGTTGGGTTTTGGATGCTAGTGTTCTGGTCAACCACCATGACTATGCTGGATGACCAGCTAAACCAGATTTAAACAGTGCTGTATTACAGTGCTGTTTTACATTACATCAACTGACTGAGACTGACTAGCTTGTATTCACAGTCAAATTTGATTGGTTGATTCCTAGTTATGTAGTAATGTGTAAGTCCTTCAGTCCAGCTCCCAAAGACCTAGACTTGAGGGGACAGACATGATCTCATAACAAGAACATCTGAAGGAAACCATAAGAAATTCTGGGCTATATTTTGGTGGAAATGTAGAATTATTAGGGTATAAATAAACTAGTATGAAATTTATAAACTAATCCAATGGCTTGTGAAAATGAAGCTCTAATTAGGGGGCGATGGTGCGCTCTTCAACATTTTCTGACAGACAGTAAGCTTGTCATTAGCCCATGGATGTAATGTAAGTTAGCATGGCTAGAAAGTCCCACAAAGCTCCAAATAGGCATGTAGATGTTGTTGTGTAACAATTAATGTACTTGTTCATGTATTACTGCAAAATCTGGGCCCTTTTAAAATGTGTTTTTTTTAAATTGTGGACCTAAATAATGAATTTGGTGGGCTTATATAAATTTACCAGTTGGCACTGAAGTAGAGGCCTCTCCATTTGTGATGTCCAGAAAGAAATCTGCTGGGTTGTTGAATGCCTCACATTCATAGCCTAGTCAAAAGGAAAATGAATACAAATCTCATCTTCTCGCATTACTAGCATTACCGTATGTGTGAGAGAACTATGTATGTATGTTTTACCTAGATCATGAAAGTACTGAATTGCATTGTTGGCTGGACCAGCATAAACCGTCTCTCCTTTATGCAGCAGAGTCAGATGGTCAAAGAGTCTGAAGATGGAGTAACGTGGTTGATGAATGGAGAAAATAATGGTCTTCCCACTACGAGACAACCTGGGAGAGAAAGAGAGATAGCCAGACAGAGAGAGGATGTGCCGGTGAATACAACAATACAACAGTTATCATTGTTGTGAACTCTTAACCACAACTGGTCACTCCAAATGGATGTGATAAATACCATGCAGCATGTTTAATTGTGTGTCATCAGCATAGCTATGACAATTGATATTATGATATTATATGCTTAATGACATCACATAGAGATACGATGCACAAAGAGAAAAGCAGAGGCCCTAAAACTGAACCTTGTGGGACTCCACAAGAAATGTTACATTTTTTTGATGAATGATTTCCCAGTGAAACCATGAACTGTCTATTACCTAAATATGATTGAAACTATTCTAAAACTAGTGCCCGAGAGGCCGACCCAGTATTCAAGACGGTGAATAAGAATCTTGTGATCAACAGTATCAAAAGCACTAAGATCAAATAAGACCAGAATAGAAGGATTTTGTGCATCAGCACTGAGCCTGAGGTCATTCACAATGTGAAACAATGCTGTCTCAGTACTATGGTTGGAACAAAAACCTGACTGAAACTTAGATATGCATTTAATTGTTTGAAAACAACTTTTTCTGGAACTAAACTCAAAAAAAGGAAGGTTTGAAATTGGTCTAAAATTATTTATTTTAATATATAAAAATTATAAAAAATTATAAAAAAATATATAAAATATTTTTTTTTGCAGAACCTTCACAAAGGCAGTTTTAAAAGCATTTGAAAAAGCACCTGTTGACAGAGAACAATTTACAATAGTTAAAACATCACTTTGAACATGATCAAAAACCATCTTAAGGAGAGAAGTAGGGATGGGGTCAAGGTCACATGTGCATGAACTTAATTTGTTTATACAGTTGGAAGCTCCTCGTAATTGATAGCAGAGAAAGATGTCATTACCGATGTAGGTGGCTTATCAGGAACATTGTAGGAGCTTGTTTCAGTCGGCTGAACTACACTATGTCTCGGCAAGTCTATTTTATTTTAAAAATGAATTGCAATGTCTTTGCAAATTTTAGAAGATAAATCACCATGAGACACAATACCAGATAAGTTAGGATTAATTAATCGGTCTATGGTGGGAAAAAAAGATTTTGGTATTATCTTTGTGTGTCTTAATTACACCAGAGAGGTATGACTGTCTGGATACTTTCATAGCATTTTGTAGGTGGAGATCTGCTCTTTGAGAAAATTATAATGTAGCTGCAGTTTAGTTTTCTTTCATAAGCGCTCTGATTTATGACAATTTTGCTTAAGCTGGCGTAGTTCATCATTCATCCACAGATTTTTATGAGTATGCGAGTTTTTCTTCCCTGTGACTGGAGGGAGAATGTCAAGAGTTTCCCTTATCTTAGCATTTAGAGAACCAGATCATTGCAAGAGGGAATCAGAGCTGTATTCAATGAACTATTATAAAAGTTTTTAAATTTCTGTTTCTGAGTCAAGGTAATGCTTTTTAAAGTAACTTTCAGGCAACTTTCTTCCTTACTTCTAAATTGATTTGAAAAAAAGAAATACAGGAATGATCTCAAATCATCAGAAGGACAAATTTGTATTTAAACCTTTAGTGATTACCAGCTCCAGGATGTGACCTAGCTTGTGGTTAGAGCTGCCCATGTGCTGCTTCAAATCAAATGTCCCTAGACATTGGCATAATAAGCAAAATTAGCCGCTGAGCGAATTGGCTGCTGAAATTGATGTGATCTTTTGGGGTTGTGTACTTGTGTAGAAGTCCCATGATGCTGTTGGCTGTGTTGGAGTCCAGGCCAGTTGTTGGCTCATCCAGGAAGAGAAGGGATGGAGATGTGATGAGCTCCATGCCTATGCTACAGCGCTTCCTCTCTCCACCAGACACACCTCTCAGAAACTCTGTACCTATCTGACAGACGTACAAGAAGAAAGAAGGTCACTGAATCAGCTAAGACTGATCAGACAGCAGAAGAATAACAGAAGGTAATCTGGGCCTTCTACCGTGGTGTTAGCACAGTCCTCCAATCCAAGATCCTGGATGATGTTCATCACTTTCTTTTCTTTGTGTGCAACAGAGTACTGTTGCCGTGGCAACCTCAAGTTTGCAGAGAACAAGAGATTTTCTCGGACAGTCAGGGTGCCCATAAGGATGTCATCCTGAATGAACAACAGAGATAAGAAAAGAGAGAGAGAACAAGTTTACTAGCGGTGTACTCCAAGGGTCTACTCATGGGCCACTTTTATTTTCTTCATAAATGGCCATCCAGCTGTATAATGATTGAATATGGAGTCAAAATCCTGTAGCTATATGACAAAGAAAGAGATTGGTGCACTAAACATCAAGGCAGTCAAAATGTAAACACGTTTGCTGTTTCCTTAATCAAATACAGTGTAAATATGTTGCATTCTAAATAATTAATCAATACACAATTAAGTTATTGCTCGTTGAAATTCATTTAGAACTGGCCATAAAAAATCATCAGATGTTACAATAGCATTAAAGCTATCTAAAGCGATCAAAACAATCTTGATTCCAGTTGATGATGGAATAGTTTTTAATGATCTCACTCACCTGAACAACATAGGCGGACATAAGGCGCAGTTCAGGGGTCACAAACTTGTTATCAACCAAAACCTGACCTGATCTCATGCCACGAGGGTCTTTCCTTCCAGCAATGACGTCCAATAGTCTGTATTCACATACAAACATAAATAAATAGAGGTACGGTTATAAGAAAAGGTTTGTAAACCCTTTTTATTAGAATTTCTGTGAAATGGCTCATAAAATGTGATCTGATCATCATCTTAAATAACTTTGTTTACTTTATTGAGTGATAGAGAAAATAAGAATCATATAACAAAAGCTAAAGTCAGCGGCCAGATACAGCAGGGTAACGGTGCATTCTTGCGGTCGCCATCACCAGATCATAACTACCAGTTGTTTGCATTCAGGTGGTCATTGTTAACTGTCAATTGGTCATGTAAACAATCGTATAGGTCAATGCCAGATTGGTTTACTGTAATATCAGGGAATGTACTTGCTAGTTATATGTCACAACTCATAAACTTGGGTAACATGGATCTTGCCCATAGTTACCACCTACGTTTATGACTACTGGGGTTCAGTACTCTTTGTGGTAAACTCAGAGATCCGTCACTTTACGAGGACTGACATAACATTTTATAGTGCTTTCACAAATTTGTTTGGAGATTAAAACTATATTTATTATCAAGATTTACATTAAGATCAGATCACATTTTAGGAGCTGTTCCTGCTAAAATCAAGATCATTCCAAAGTGTTCACAAACGTAGGTGTTTGACAGCATGTATGAGAGCATTATGTCTGTGGGTGATCTTACGATGTTTTGCCACTTCCAGTTGCACCCATGATCGCATTCAGTCCCGTTTTCATGATGCCACTGAAACAAACAACATGCAGAACACCTAAATAACCAGTACACAAAATTCTTACAAATTCCATAAACAACCTCTACAACAAGCAATTTATTTATTATCTATTGTTACTGGTAACAGAAATACTGTAAACCCAGCACACTATTTTCTTTCGTCAATCATTTCTTAAATCTCTCTGTAGCCACCAGCGAAGGACCCTCATAAAAATGTCAGGATTCTGCATGGACCCTTTTCATTATGAGTAACTACTTCAGTTTGCACTTTTTTAAAGTAGCATATGATAAACAGAGCTTAATGATTTTCTCTTTAAAAATAAAATCTATAAAACATTTCAGTCACAGTCCAGTCTCAGATTAAACCCTGATGAGAAAAAAGTATCAGTTCTAGTTCTGTTGGGTCTTAGTGTTACGTTTGACACTGTAGATCACAATGTACTGTCAGACAAACTTGAATCCTCTCTGGAAATATTCTAAAGCAGTTTTCCTGTGTTTAAGTGATAGACAATACTGGCACATTTGTATCTAAAAAACATGACATTTAATGGGGTGTACTCCAAGAGTCGTATTCGTGGGTCACTATTATTTTCATTATGCACTCTCCCATTCCTTTTTCATTATCAGTGAAAACAGTAAATTCCACAGACATGAAGATGACATGCATCTTTCCATCTCTGTTAGTCAACTACCATTCTACCGTCATAAATTGATGAAAAACAATTTCTGAAAATTAATGAGGAAAAAGTTGATATTCCTGTAACTGAAGCTCTTCTGGTTCCATGGTTTGTCTGGTATCTTTATATATGTTTTCACTTGAGCATGTCCAGGAAAGCACTTTGAGAAGCCCTTGTATGAAAGGTGCTATATAAACAAAGTATTGTTATTATCTGGTTTTATAGGAGCACAATATGAATTAGTAACCGCAATGAACAAAGTCTAAACTTGCTGCCATTGCAGGCTGGAGGAGTGTGTCACACGGAATGGGCAAACTGTTTATGGAACCTATTATGCTCTTACAGTCTAAAAGATATATTTAACGATTAATATGAAATGTTCGAGAAAAGGAAAAAAGTTTGATCAATTGATTGATATAAAATCTAAACTAAAAATTTGCATTGTTTCATTCAAAGCATACATTTGAGTAGAATTAAATCAACCTCTTATGACTACATGAAGCAATCTTTTAACATTGAACAGATGAACCTTTGTACAGTACCTTAGTTGATGAGAAAAATACCTTTGGGTGCATTTTTATGTCTGTAAGTTGTTTGTTTAAAGCTACGCTATGTATGCTGTTTTTATCAAAGTTGAAAGAAGTCGCATTGCTTAGTCAGGAGAAAAAATACACCAAAACATGGTGAGCATGAGCTGCTGTGATTCACCCTGTGCAGCCTAAAATAGTCATTTAAAAGTCGGATGTGTCGGGTCGGGAGTTTTTTGGACCACACCATACTTCTTCACATATTAACATCACATGCCCAGGCTCAAAAGGAATATGTTTAGGCCTTAAATGCAAATTCAACATTATACGGATGAAGATATGATATCAGTAGAAGATCATTCACTCTTTTCCTCTGAAGACACGTCCTGCACCAAGTTTTGACTGAATTCACTTTCAATTCTCTTTCAATGCGCTCGCAACCATTAGATTCATCCACTCAGGAAGAGGTCTGAAGCACAACCCTTTGTGTGCAATTACAACTTCCACCAGAGGGGTCTCCAAATCTTCAAATCTTACATAGTGTAGCTTCGAAACTCATTTCTCTAATGGACATTTATTGAGGATATTCCCACCATGCTCTCTTGGGACCTGTATGTATGTCTCCAACAAAGCTCCTAGATAAGAGAGGGTTAGGTGATACTGGTATCAGAGCTCTGTAATCTTCATGTCTTTTACCATGTGCTCTGCTACATCTGGTGTAGATATGTTTCTCATATCTTGTCAACAACCTCATTCTCAGGCCAAAGAAGATTATACACTGTGAGTACAAAATGTCAGGGAGGTCTGCTGGGGACACTGAAATGGACTGGCAAGGCGGATACAGGTGAAAGCTATGATCCCTAATTGAATCCATATGGAAAATGCACTTTGATCAGTGTAGATGAAAAGACCAACAGTGCTTTAAAAGAGTTTTTGAGGCTTGCAAACACTGACATATGGATTGAACAGGGCATAAAAGTACATCTCAGAAGCACCACCTTGAGTAATATGCCTTAGGGTTTTTCGAACTAGAGTGAACCTGGAACTGTCCATCAGCCAAAAAGCACCAAATAAGGTTGAAACAAGGACACAGAGTGTCACTAATGCAAAGCACCAGCATGTAGTGTCCCAAAAGTCCTAGAAAGCACACACTTCTGTGTGTCCACAATGCTTAACTGACTCACTCTAGTTACTACAGTGCCAGTCCCCTTGTGGACAATCTTGTTAAATGTAAGTGAGTGACTAAGTGAGTGAGTGAGTGAGTTACACACCAGGTCCATGACGTGATTCACATCTAATAAGGATGATAATGATAGAAACCATGCAGATCAGAGCTGCTCAATCCTGCTCCTGGAGATCTACCAGAGTAACCCTGAGTTTAGCTCCAACCCCAATGTAACACACCTGATCCAGGTAATGGAGGTCTTCATGGGCCTCTGAACATTAGAGCCTGGTGTGTTGGAACTCTCACGATGGTCGATCTCCAGGACCAGGATTGAGCAGCCCTGGTGTAGATCAATAGAGAGTCTCCACTGGCCTTTTTAAAACTTTTTAAGCTTTTTTTTTTGTTCACATCAAAACCTTTAGTTTCATCTCTGTGCTTTGCGGTGGTCAGGGTTAAAGGGGGCTAATAAAGTATGCAGAGAAACAGATGGACTCCAGTCTGTAACTGCAGAACTCCAAAGTGCCCCTATATGGTCAGTGGAGCTGATAAAATAGACAATGATTGTGGAAACAAGGAGGTGGACTTAATGAAGTGGTGTATTCAACTTCAGCACTCATCTTCAAGCTCATCAAAGTGTCTTCCCTGGTATGAAGAGCAGGTTTTGTCTAAATAATTTAAAAAAAAATTTCTTTTCCAAACTATTCTTATTAAGCATGTCTTGGAAATCTTTTGACCTAAAAGTGGTTTAAAAGCATGCCAGCATGTAGTCATATGCAGATGACATGTTTTGTTGATTTTCTAAGTGACAATAAGTCAACACATCCTCTACAGAGAACACATTTAAATAATAATAATAATAATAATAATAAATCTGCAAATATTTTGCACATATTTTCTATTGTTTTATGTATTTTTAATTCCAGTATGTAAAATTCACCAAATAAACAGTGATTGTGCATTAAAATCTGTTCACGTATTTTCACATAGAAAATCAATAAAACATAAAATTTAACCAAGGATGTCTGTATTTTTGCAACAACGAGGCGACAAAGTGCCTGCGCTATGGAATTATTCCAAAGGTAGTAGTTTTGTCAGTTGTCCCTTATTGTCTCTTATTGCTTTGCAATGGTGGTGACAAGAACCACAACGCAAATTCATTTCATTCACCATCCAAAAAGACCAGTGAACCACCTGTTTTTGTCATGATAATAATGGCGTAACAGTCATAAATTGGAAAAAGTACGTTTTCCTTGGGGACTATTTTGCTTCACAGCACCCTGCGTGTACCCATCCACTGTGAAATCTTAAAAAATATATTTTAGAATAAAACAATTATTTTAGATCAAAACCATTTCCCTGGTATCAGGCAGCAGATTCATGATATTTACATTACGAATATGAATTCATAATAATCATTTTGTGTAATAACGTTCTGTGAGCTTTCAACTCTTTAGACGTCTGGTTCCCATCACCACCACAAACTTTGTAAAAGCTTCTCTAATACTGAGCTTTTCACACTGAACCACAATGAATGACTTTGTTTAACATTTTAATGGTTTATTTATGTGGAAATTGGTGGAATTCCATTGTTTTTGTTCGCATACTGCAAACAAACCAAGACAACTTGCTCATTTATTAAAATAATTCGTAAGGTTACGCTAACTTCCATTCACTGTTAGCCACTTTAGCATCTTTGGTCAAGCTGTTTCTTTACCAAAACGCATATAAAGATATATTGACGTTGACTGACCTGACATTTTTCAGGATGTCCCTTTCAGGTGCTTTTTTGCGGCAGGGTCCCCGGTTCTCTCTCACAACGTACCGGATGTTCTGAAATGTTAGGGTTGGTCCTGGCACGGTCACACTCACTTTGTCGCCCCTGTGCTCTTTAGGAGGCCTCGGATCCATCTTGCACATGTCCATAGTGCCGGATGGAGGGAATAGGGTTGGTGAATTAATGGAATCGGAGCAAAAGAGAGACAGAGGTTTTTGATGATGCCTCCACCCCTTTTGCTGCCTTTATGCAAGCAATCAGGTGGCGGGCAAACCCATGACCGCTGGGCGAACTCTTGTCAAAGTCCTTCTAAAAGTGTAAATGAGGGCGTGATGCTGCTACATAACCTGCTGCCTCCAGGGGGGAAATCTGCAGAGGGTTCCGTGTTGATAAGGTCTGAACTTTGTAATGTGTTTGTAGCAGCAATTACTTTCAGGTTGCTCTGGGCCACGTTGCACTTCAGGCCATTCACGGTGAAGACAGTCTCCTTGGGGATGTATCTCCAGAAAAATATGATGGCATCAGAGGGTGCGAAAAGCCTTCCATTCCTAAGAGCACTTGACCTGTCCACACTCGAACAAAAAAGTTGGAATATTTTGTAAAGGGCAATAAAAACAAGAATCTGTGATTTATTATTTAACTGACGAAAGTACAAAGAAAATATGTCCAGTTTTTTTACTAACTACCTTAATTGTATTTTGCAAATATAAAAACGTTTAGAATCTGATGTCGGCAGCGCCCCCAAAAATTTGGGACAGGGACATGTTTACCATTGTGTTACATCACCTCTCCTTTTAATTAAACTTTTTAATCATTTGGAAACTGAGGATACTAATTGTTGCAGTTTTGCAAGTGGAGTATTCGTCCATTCTTGCTTGTTACAAGACTTCAGATGTTGGCTGATATGAGTCTAGATGATTCTTTTTGTCTCTGGCATGGAGAACTTGATGTCCATTTTTCCCAAAAGCAAGCTGAAATGTGAACTCATCTGACCACAGCACACATTTCCACTGTCTCTTGGATCATCTGAGATTAACTCAGGCCCAGAGAACTCGGTGGTGTTTATGCATATAATTGATGTATGGCTTTCTCCCTGTGTAATACTTTTAAGTTGCATTTCTTGATGCAGCAACGGACTGTGTAAGTGACCTTTCCAAAGTAGTCCCCAGCCCATGTGTCTGGATTTAACACTGTAGCATGATGGTTTCTCATGCAATGCCATCTGAGGCTTATACTGAAAGGTGAATTTCATAATGATACAAGTCTTTTAGAAACACTCAATTAACCATTGAGATATCATAGCAACCACCAACAAACACCTACCAACCCCCTAGCAACCACCGGGGATACAATAGCAACCACCTAACAACAACCCAGTAACCACCTGGAATACCATAGCAACGACATAGCAACACCATAAACAATTGTGATACCATAGCAATCACCTAGCAACCCCTTAGCGACCACTTGAGATACCTTAGCGACCACCTAGCAATGCTGCTATAACAAGCATCTGGGATACTATAGCAAACCCCTAAAACACCCTAGCAACCACCTGGGATACCATAGCAGCAATCTAGCAACACCTTAGCATCCACTTGAGATACTATAGCAACTGACTAGCAACATCTGAGGAAGCTTAAGATGCACAGTCGCTCTGCATTTTCTTCAGGAAATGCTAATTTTCCTGTCCTGTTTCACCATCAGTCTGGCTTTAGAAAAAAAACATAGCACCATTTGTGTTACCACACTTGTTTTAAATGATCTGTTAAAGGCTATAGACAGAAAGAAGCACCGTGCTGCCCTTTTTATTGACCAAAGCTTTTGATACTGTTGTTCACTTGCTTCTTTTAAGTAGCTTCCAAACAATTGATTTTAATAAAAATGCAATAAACTGGGCCCAAAACTACTAAAACGTGTGGCACTGGGTAACTACAAATCAGTGCTACTTTAGTGCCTTACAGGCTGCTCTGAATAAGCATAATTTTAGCATAATGCTAGATTTAGCTAGTCAGTAAATGTAGGCAATATTGTGGAGACAATCTTATTGTCCATCCTAGACAACAGTGATACAATCTGTCAGATTTCTAAAGTTTTTACTGAAATTGGAAAATCTGCTTTTAGCTGCAGCGCTCCAGCTAATTAAAGTACAGTAACTCTAAAGCTCTGCTCGCTGGTGTCACTCAACCATTTCAAAGTTCAAATTTCAAACCACCTCCGCTGAACCTGCAACTGTTTTATTTGATGTTACTTCTTTTAGTGTTCTGGTTTATTTTATTATATTATTGCATTTTTATTAGCTGCTTAATAATAATAATAATAATAATAATAATAATAATAATATGAATAATAATAATAAACTCACGTTTGTTGTTAAACTGAAAAACTGACAAAATGAAAAACTACCAACGTTGAGTCAGTCAGATGTATAAACCTTGTGTTTTATTTTCTTAACCGCTGATCCGGTGAAATCAGTGACCCGCTACGGCCAATTTGACTGGCTGTTTCATGAAAGTTGCTTCACGAAGTTGAGATGCTTGCGACTGTTGCAGCTGAGTTTCAAATGAGTTGCAGGACGCTTTTGTGCAATTTAGTTTCGTGAAGGTTTCAAGCAACTAAAGTTGCACGAAAGTTTCACTGTATAAAGCCTAGCCAATGTCTAATAACGCACGTATGCACAAGAGCACTCAGACAAACTGTAACTGTTACATCCAAATGTATATCTGCAGTAATTCAGGGGTTAAACCAGCAGCCCCCACCTCAAGTGGTCCAGCCCAGGTTTGCTGATTGTAACTCGTCAACTGGACAAAGATTAGATGAAGCTAAAGGGTGTAGAATTACATAAGTAGCAATATAAGGGGTCAAGTAAGGATAACAAGGGACCCCCACCTGCACTGCTGGTGGTTTCGCCACTGAATGCTTGACATCAGCTAAATTGTCCCAGGAGCTGGACAAGCTGGGTATTTAGCTCCCTCTGCTGGTGGGCAAGACGATCATTCAGGTCTTTTTGTTTTTTTTTGTTTTTTTTGTCTGTGTGCTGAAAGAACTGCTGGCCATTTCCTCTTTCTCTCTGAGAGCTCTCACTCTCCTTTTGAGTCTTGGTTCCTCTCAGTGGTTCTTCCTCATGCTCTTAGGGAACTTCTCCTTTTGAGTCCTGGTTCCTCTCAGTGGTTCTTCCTCATGCTCATAGGGAACTTCTCCTTTTGAGTCCTGGTTCCTCTCAGTTCTCAGTTCATTTCTGGACAATGTCCATTGCAAGAAGTTATATACATAGCATTCGTCTAAATTTCAATAAACTAATAAATAAATAATCAGTAAATCAAGCAATAGTCTTTGCACTGGGTAAATCTAAACATATTACCTCTAGTGAAGGTTCTTTAACAAGACTGGCTGACATTAAAATTATTTTTCTATGCTATTAACAAAACTAATAATCTCTATAAAATCTCTGAAAAAAATAGTTCATGATTTTTTTATTGAGTTTTTGCACACTGTGTCCACTCACTGTCCACTCTATTAGACCGTTTGCAAAGTTTGTGTTGTTCATCCTCTCGTCCTTCATCAGTGGTCACAGGACGCTGTTTGCTGGACGTTTTTGGTTGGTGGACTATTCTCAGTCCAGCAGTGACACTGAGGTGTTTAAAAACTCCAGCAGCACTGCTGAGTCTGATCCACTCGTACCAGCACAACACACACTAACACACCACCACCACGTCAGTGTTACTGCAGTGCTGAGAATGATCCACCGTCCAAATAGTACCTGGTCTGTGAGGGTCCATGGGGGTCCTGACCACTGAAGAACAGGGTAAAGGGGGCTAACAAAGGTATGCAGAGAAACAGATGGACTACAGTCTGTAATTGTAGAACTACAAAGTGCACCTATATAGTAAGTGGAGCTGATAAGATGGACAGTGAGCGTAGGTGTACCTACTGAAGTGCTCAGTATGTGTACATGCACATTAAATAACATAAAATTTCACTTTAAAAAATGACCGTAACTATTTTTTTCGTTCAAGAAACTGTCTCTAAAATTGTGTATATCAAATGCTATGCTAACTGATCCTACTCACCAGTCCATGTATCATGTACAAAGTGTTGATCAAAGTATGTGCATGTGCCTATGTGAATAGTCTTCTTTAAGAATCAGTGTCTGTTTTGAAGGATTTATTGGGTAAAAGGATCAAAATTACTCAGGAGACGTGCTCTGTTATCTGCCCTGCTGGTGACGAAGCTCCTATTTTAAAGAAAATAACACCAACTTACTTTTTTTACCAACAGTCTAATGTTTGTATTTAAAGGGGCAGTCCAGCAGTGTGCTTTCGCTGTTAGACCAACAGTCAATGTTTGTTTAAAGGGACATTGGAACAACGTGCTCTTGCTATTTTATGTTACGAACAACAGTGACGTGGGTTACACAGGGCAGACTGAGTGCAGATGGGACAGCGGTCAAGCCAAGCTTCAGGTGATATAGGATTGCACGTGTGAGTTTCAGTTATGAATACATCTCTGCTATGAAAATACTATCAAAGCGTTCTTTAGGTGGTCATTTTTTCATTTTATTACCTTTTTCTCAGTTTAGGTTTGTCTGCTGTGAGAAAATAAAGCCTGAAATAAATGGTATATTGCTGTGATCATTGATCTGTCCACAAATATTAAGTATTATGTAACATGTCAGGCAGGATATTAGATTTTTTATGAAATACAAACAAATGCCTAAGGTGGTCTGTAGGCCATTTGCACTTATGATAAATTACAAACCTGCTCAAATTGGCATGGACGTCCATGAAAAAGACGTTGTCTAGAAGACGGCATATGTTGCTCCACAATGTGTATATATCTTACATATATATCAGTGTTAATGGGCTTGTTTACACCTTGTGTCAACATGCATTTTTGGTGATTGGATCATGTTTAGATGGCACTTGACCACCAGAAAAGCGAGATGTAAACACCCCCAGGATACATTGTGATCAAATAACAATCAGATCACTCAAACCTCATTCAGAGGTGACGGATCCTGACCACATTCCTGAACTGGATCCTGAACAGCAGTGTAAACAGAATGTGTTTTTAATATCTGTTTATAATTACGTATGTGGAAATATGTCTGCCGAGTGCAATAAACAAGGAACAGAAGGTGGAGGATACATGAGGCTGGAGTTCCCCAAAGAGCCTTCTTGCACTCTGGTCAGATGAAAGTGTCCAAGCCAAGCTTGTCAACTCGTATCACAATGAGGGAAAATTAAACAAAAGTAAAATAGAAACGATGCATGTGCTGAAGTGTTTTTTTATGCACACATGTTAATGTATGGTGTAAACAGACTCAGTTACCCATACCATAAGCACCCGCCATACCATGACAAGTTCTGGCTTTTGAATTTTATGCTGGTAACAATCTGGTTAGTCTTTTTTCTTCTTTGGCCCAGAGAACACAACATCGATTACTATCATAAACAATCTGAAAGGTGGACTCGTCAGACCACAATCACGTTTCCACTGTGCATCAGTCCTTTTCAGATGAGCTCAAGCCCAGAGAAGTTGGTGGTGTTTATGTGCATCTGCTGTGCATAGTACGGTCTTAATTGCATTTTGTGGCCACAGCAACAAACTGTGTTTACTGATAATTGTTTGTACTCTTGAGCCCATGTGGTGATATCCTTCACAGAATCATGTCAGTTTGTAATGCAGAGCTGTCCGAGTGGTCGAAGGTCATGGGCATTCAGTGGTTTTTGGCCTTTTGTTTTGCTAAAAGGGGTTCCTCTGAATCTTTTGATGATATTATGCACCATAGAGGGTGAAACACCTAAAATCATTGGAATCGCTCATTGAGGAATGTTATTTTTTAAACTATTATATTGATACTGTTTCTGACAAACAGGTGAGCTTCGTGCCATTGTTGCTCAAAAAGGACTAGGCCTTTCCTTGATGCACCTTTTAAACCCAAGCATAATTGCAATCATAACATTTGACAGTGCTCCTAGTCTTAAATTGCCCCATTATACTTTTTTTTAAATGTGTCACAGGCATCAGTTTCAGAATGAGCATATACAAAAATAATTTAAAGAATAATTTAAAAAGTTGATAAAATAAAACCTGACCACTGAAGAACAGGGTGAAAGGGGCTAACGAAGTACGCAGAGAAACAGATGGACTACAGTCTGTAATTGTAGAACTACAAAGTGCACCTATATGGTAAAAGGAGCTGATAAAAGGGACAATGAGAGTAGAAACAAGGAGGTGGTTTTGATGTTATGGCTGATCAGTGTGTATATATATATATATATATTGACTGGAATTTGTTAATTGACAAAGGAAACAAATGTAAAAAATCAGACGCCATTTCCATCCACAGCCTAAATCACCTAAAAAGTGCTCAAATATCAGAGGTCTTTCTGCAGGATGTTTACATAATGTATGCAAAGCAGTTTCAAAGCCATGTATGTGCAGGAAACGCAGCTTGTTTTGATCCTTTTCCTCATTTCCTTTAGGTTGCTTTCAGTTAGGTAACACAAAGGAACTTTGAACATTGTGCTTTTTATTGTCCAAACGTCAGACCATTATTGGGGCAGAGCTTTGATGCCTTTAGCTGGAGTTTACATTGGTGGCTGCAGTATCATGGTTAGCCTACATACGCTTCTCTATCTGTCAGTCTGATGGACGAGTCTGGGTTTGGTGAATGCCAGGAAAACATTACTTGCCTAACTGCACTGTACCAGCTGTAAAGTTTGGTGGAGGAGGGATAATGATATGGGGTTGTTTTTTCAGGGATTGGCCTAGAACCCTTAGTTCCAGTGAAGGGAAATCTTAACGCTTCAGCAGATCAAGACATTTTGGACAATTGTACGCTTCCAACTTTGTGGGAACAGTTTGGGGAAGAACCTTCTCTGTTCCAGTGTGACTGAGCCCCAGTGCACAAAGCAGCTCCATAAAGACATGGCTGGGTGAGTTTGGTGTGGAAGAACTTAACTGGCCCTCACAGAGCCATGACCTCAACCCCATCGAACACCTTTGGGATGAACTAGAACGGAGATTGTGAGCCAGGCCCTCTCGTCCAACATCAGTGTCTGACCTCACAAATACTCTTCTGGATGAATGGACAAAAATTCCCACAGACACTCTCCAAAATCTTGTAGAAAGCTTCCCAGAAGGGTGGAGATAAGATTTGATATATATATAATGGGAGCCTGTAGAAAAGCGCCTGTAGGTGCGAAGTGTAGGTGTCCCAATACTTTAGCCCATATATATGTGTATGTATATACATCGATCAGGCATAACATTATGACCACCTCCTTGTTTCTACGCTCATTGTCCATTTTATCAGCTCCACTTACTATATAGGTGCACTTTGTAGTTCTACAATTACAGACTGTAGTCCATCTGTTTCTCTGCATACTTTGTTAGCCCCCTTTTTACCCTGTTCTTCAGTGGTCAGGACCCCCATGGACCCTCACAGAGCAGGTTCTGTTTGGGTTGTGGATCATTCTGAGCACTGCAGTAACACTGACGTGGTGGTGGTGGTGTGTTAGTGTGTGTTGTGCTAGTGCGAGTGGATCAGACACAGCAGTGCTGCTGGAGTTTTTAAACACTGTGTCCACTCACTGTCCACTCTATTAGACACTCCTGCCTTGTCAGTCCACCTTGTAGATGTAAAGTCAGAGGCGATAGCTCATCTGCTAACTTCTATGTATATATATATATATACACACATATTTATTCATTTATATATCTCATTGCTGTCTTTACAGGAGAAGGCTGTATGTCCTTAACTTTTAATGTAACTTAATGTAAAGAGATTTTATTTCAAGCGATTTTAGAGCATTTCCAGAAGCTGAAGTGAAGACCACCCTCTGCAGACCACCGGGCATATCACAACAGTGACTCCTAACAGAGCCGTTTACCCCACTAAACCTATATTTCCAGTTAAATTTCGTCTCTGACCCTCAAACACAGAGCCCTGTGTGTCTTAATGTGGTTGTGCTGAGGTCGAGTTTTTTGTC